GATGGTATGCTACGGTTTAATGTAATTGAACCAAGATCTCTTTAGGCTTTAGGGTAATTTATGTTTTATTAGATGATGATGTCATTCAACGGCTTTAATGCTATAAATTATATAATACAATCATTAGAGTGTAATGGCATTTATAAGAAAACATGTCGGTTGAAACGACTACTTGTGTCTAAAATGCGTAGAACATGAATCCAAGGGCAGACGATCAGGGTTTCTGAGGAGAAATTTGAATCGTGCCGAGTGTGAAACGGGGCTTCACGTCTGTCGGTTTGAGTTTAAGCAGGAGGTGAATTGAATGTGACTGGCGAGAGATAGAGGAGAGGCCGGCTACAAGTGACACCTGATAACGGCCCGGCTGGCGTGTTTTGTTCTCTTCTCTTTTATGCTTCCATCACAGCTACTTTGCGATGAACGGGAGCCACCGATAAAACCGAACGTTCCACTTACGGGCCGTCGTTCGACGGAGGAGGAATTCCACGAGAATTACCGACATTTATTTTTTTTTTTTTTAATTCAAGCCCGTTTTTATATCTCAAATTTATACAAACACGCCAACAAAAATATGATTCTAACTTTCCCGTTCACTCATGACTTAAAGATGTTAGAATTGCGAAACATGCAGCTGACAGACTATAAGTTTACACTAAGTTCTAGTGACTGTAAGTAGTCTTCGGATCTAAGAATGAAGTGTAAATGCTTGACAGAACAAGTGCATTCAGACTATATCAATAATTAATTAATCTTTTTATGTAATGTTTTGGCTGAAATGAAAAGACAGTGTCACGAGCGGGATTCGAACCCACGACCCTCGGCTCAATAGGCCGGTGCTCTAACCACCTGAGCTACCGTGACTTCTACCAATTTCGACCTCAGCTGAACTTTTGTTTGAATGATTTTTCGGAAATCGAGAGATACGCTCTGGTGTGACGTAGGTTTCGGAAAAACATTTTCTTTATCGTGCCAACGTTTCGATCTTTATTGAGATCATCTTCAGAGCCTGGGATTTACAAACATTGTTTAAATTTAACAAATACATGTACGACGTGGAAAAAGGTGAATTTATACAATGCAAAAATAACTTGCTCCGTTCAATTCCAAAAAGCTTTCAGATTTTGTTTCATGTCAAAGCTCAGAATTCTTCTGTTCCGGCATAAAAAAGTTGGTCACGCCTTGGTAAAAATGAAGGTAAATACTTCGAATAAATTGATTTTTTTTATATTGTAATTTATGACAATATTGTCAACACCAAGGATTATCGTTTGGGTTAGGATAGCTAATCCCCAACCGCAGGCTCGGGAGTGCGAGCTGAGACAGAAAAGGACGAGGAAGGACCTATTTTCAAGTTGTTGAAGGCACCTCTTTTTTTTGCAAATGACAAGGAGCTACGTCTATAATTACAACTATTATTACCACTTTTTTTTCATATAAATCCTCAGGGTGCCAGTGTTTTTGAAAAAAAAAAACATTTGTAAGTATGTCAGGTTCGAATGCAGGGCCGCTGGATTCGAACCCGTGACCTTCACCTTACAGTGATGAGCGCCGTGTCAACGCCTAAACCGTTGCGGCCACAGACACGCCCTTATTACCACTTTTAAAAACTGGAACTATTTTTAAGCACATAAAGAAAAATTCCTTTAGAATTTTAGAAGTGAAACTAAAAAGGGAGAAATAGCAAGTTTACTAATATTTTAATATTTTATTACGCATCCCATCCGGTCCTGCATCTTTATTTGCCAATAGAGACGAGAGAATCTTACATACTTTTTCAAGAGTAACAGTTTAAAAAATAAATGCTAGAGATATGATTGGCAAAGAGATTGGAAATTGAAAGCATGTCAGAGGCTTCTAAATTATTTAAAAACATTTTTTTTTTTTAATTTAGAAATCGTGAGATGCGGTCTGGTGTGATGTAGGTTTCAGAAAAACATTTTCTTTATCGTGCCAACGTTTCGATCTTTANTGTCTCTTTGTTACTCTGTCATTCTGTTTCTTTGTCTCTCTGTCTCTTTGTTTCTCTGTCATTCTGTTTCTTTGTCTCTCTGTCTCTTTGTTTCTCTGTCATTCTGTTTCTTTGTCTCTCTGTCTCTTTGTTTCTCTGTCATTCTGTTTCTTTGTCTCTCTGTCTCTTTGTTTCTCTGTCATTCTGTTTCTTTGTCTCTCTGTCTCTTTGTTTCTCTGTCATTCTGTTTCTTTGTCTCTCTGTCATTATTTTCTCTCTCTCCCTCTCTCACTCTCTCTCTCTCACTCTCTCTCTCTCTCTCTCTCTCTCTCTCTCTCACACACTCTCTCTCCTCTGACGTGAAGAAATACGCTGAAAAATGTTGTGGCCGATCAAACCAGCGATAACAGGCGGACCAGAATTGGCAGGCAATCTAAAATCTTTCCCACCGGGAGTAATCTAAAATGTAAACCATTTAATTTAGGCATTTAATATCAAATTCAGTCCCAGCGCGACATTCTGAACATGTTCTGTGGTGTGTTAAACATGGGAGTACAAGGTGTTAACATCCTCCCATTTCATTTTTTCCCCCCGAGTCGTCAATTTCAAAGGTTTTGGCCGAGAATCGGTCCCGTTCCACCCGTTTGAATAGGAAGCCCGTGGAACAAAGGGGAAATTGAAAAAGAGGGATGGAGCCTGTCGTCATAGCTACCCTCGGGTGCACGTGAGCCCAAAAAAACGTGACGCCTCTCCCAACGTGGTCCAGCCAACTCTTTGATGTCCTATTTCTTTCTTTCTTTTTTTTTAATACCAAGATCATTTGATTATCGATTTAGACATTCTGAATTAAATTATTAAAGCAATTTCAATTCACCTAAACACTTGTGATATGATACAATTATATTACACTTGTCATATATAAAAAAATATTAAGCTTCTATAAAAAAAATTCGAATTTTTAGTGTTTTCTATACATTCCTTACTGAAGAAGAACTAAAAACTGCTGCTTGTGTGTTCTTGCATCTTAGAAAACCGTCAAGACACTACTAAATCTACTGCTAGTTGATTTCATCGTACAAACATTCCATTCCACATTCTGCAGATTCAAAGCTGGATGGGTCATTGTAAAATGGATTCATCGGTACCAAAAAACTCTTTTACCGTTGTACCAAAACAATATTAACTGATGCAAAATTAAAAGAGCGCAATGCCCAGTATTTATTTACAGACAATAACCCATTTTATTGCAATAAGTGCAAGAAAGATAAAGAACACATAAAACATTGTCAATAATAATCCATTTATGTTTAGCGGTCTAATTGATCAAATTAATTATTTCAATTAATTATTCTTTTTAAGTAAGGTCTTGGTTGAAATGAAAAAGTCAGTGTCACGAACGGGATTCGAACCCACGACCCTCGGCTCAATACTCCGCTGCTCTAACCACTTCAGCTTGTCTTCAATTATCAATAATAAAATAATAAAAATAATAACATAGTGGATAAATTTCAGCTTGTCTTCAATTATCAATAATAAAATAATAAAAATAATAACGGATTAATTTCAGCTTGTCTTCAATTATCAATAATAAAATAATAAAAATAATAACATAGTGGATAAATTTCAGCTTGTCTTCAATTATCAATAATAAAATAATAGTGGATAAATTCAGCTTGTCTTCAATTATCAATATTAAAATAATAAAAATAATAATATAGTGGATAAATTAGATACCAATATTTGAACAAAAATAATATTTGGGATTTGACTAGTAAATAAAAACAATTGTAAATAAGATTAATTAATTAAACATATATAAACATATATATTGAAATCAGACACACATTCTTAGAAATGGGAACTGACTGTATGATACCGGAACCATTCTTCCAACATCCTATAAAGGAGAGGAAGAACTCAGGAGAGCATCAGATACAATGATATGGTATACAGATGGCGCTTAAAAAAAATAAATAAAAAAGAACCGGGTTTTTTTTTTTTTTTTTTCTTTTTTTTTTTGTGGGGGAGGTATCACTAATTCAAAATTTGAACCTTTTGACACCGGAAATAACAGGTCCATAGCACCTAAAAATAAATGTGGAGGAAGATCTCAGCTTGAAAATTGACCATGTGTGAGAGGTATCGGTAGGTCAAAATTTGAACTTTTTGATACCTGAAATAATTGGTCCATAAAACACAAAAATAAGTAAGGACAGAGATCTCTGCTTGAAAATTGACCATGTGTGAGAGGTATCGGTAGGTCAAAATTTGAACTTTTTGATACCTGAAATAATTGGTCCATAACACACAAAAATAAGTAAGGACAGAGATCTCAGCTTGAAAATTGACCATGTACTAGAGGTATCGCTAAGTCAAAATTTGAACTTTTTAATATGTGAAACAATTGGTCCATTGCACCCAAAATAAATAAGGAGAAATATCTCAGCTTAAAAATTGACCATTTACGAGAGGTATCGATAAGTCAAAATTTGAACTTTTCGATATGTGATATAATTGATCCATCGCACCCAAAAATAAATAAGGAGAAAGATCTCAGCTTGAAAATTGACCGTGTACGAAAGGTATCGATAAGTCAAAATTTGAACTTTTCAATATGTGAAATAATTGGTCCATCGGACCCAAAAATAAATCAGGAGAGAGATGACCAATACCCAAAGTATTGGCATCTATGACAAAGAATGTCTTAGTATTGCAAGAAGTGTCAAAGTGCTAACCACCCAAATTTTAATTTAAATTGAGTAAAAACTTTTTGATATGAGAATGTTTTTTTTTTTTTTTTTTTTTTTTTTAAAACAAATGGTCATCCTTACTCGTTTAATTATATTTTTTTTTTTTTTTTGAAAACAGAAAAAACAGTCACTAGCATATTATATGATCAAGGTTGATATACGCTAATTTTTCATAAAACAATGCTAATCTGTTAAATTGTTTGTTGATTGGACAGATCCAAACTGGCTAATATTAGTTATAAAAAATAAAAACAGGGCATTGCTCACAGAATGTATGTATTTATTGATATCATATGTTAAAAACATTTTTAATACATTTTATCATTTAGAATATTGTAAAATGTTAGTTTTTTAATGGTCCGGGCCATTTTTTTGTGCTATGGGTGAAGCTAGCAAGCTTAACAAACCACCGCCTGGATTTCCAGAAGGTGATGACGTCCCACCGGACGCTTACCTTCACATGATAGTCAGCAAGAAAGTAAGTTTAACATTTTTTCTTTTTTTGAACGAATTGAGCCTGATTTGTTCCTTTTAAGTATAACATCCAGCCACCTCCTCCTGACGATATCAAAGAGGACGATATTGAAGAAGGATCCGACTTGAGCTACGCCCAGGTGAGCTTCCGTGACTGCACTCATCTGGGCTGCCGCTGTACAGATATAGTCTTCTTGATCTTTTTCCTACTCTTCCTCGCTACCGTGGTACGTACGACATGATGTGATTTCCTTTCAGTCACTAATTTTTTTTTTCAAGCTCGGACTCGCTTTGTATTTGTGGAGGAATTCCATGGTTTCTATCAACGACCACGGCGAGAAGTGCAAGGTTATGTGTTATATACTGGAAATACCTAAAACTTATGACTCAAAGGAACCTTTTAAATGCTCAACAACAGACAAGTAGAGTATCTTCGTATTATTAAAGAAAGGACAAGATTTTTTTTTTTTTTATTGCAGATATGAGGTAAAAGCCAGAGTCGAGGATAAATTCGTCATTGAAGACTTTGGCCCGCTCAAACCTTGCTTGAAAGACTGCAAGAGTTATTATACCTTGTAAGTATCGTATAAATCCTATAAAAATTGATTTTATTACATTGACATTTCATAGGGAGTCGTTCGGCCACAACTGCGTCGATCAGGCTGGAAACGCCACCATCTCTCATCAGGCCCAAGAAATCAAATTAGACAGCAAAATTGTAAGTGAAATAATTGAACTAAATCGAAGATATCGCTTCAAAATAAACACAAGATATTTTAGTCAGAATTGTCGTTTCTTGGAGAAAGGATTGTCGTATTTTTGATAGTGCTCGGAGTGCCTATCGGTGAGTAGTAGAACGCGTCAAAACAATTCAAGTTTTAATTCTTTGCTTCATTACAGCCCTGTCGCTTGTAGTGATCTTTATGTATTACACCTTCAACATATTATTTTTCATGATGCTCATAGTCGTTTCTGGGATTTCTGTCTTTATGACATGCGGATTCGTGGTGTGAGTACTCTTTTTTGGGGGGAAAAAATCACTCTATAAACTCGTTTTAGGTTCTTGTTAATCAAACAGGCAGGGATGGTGTCAGAAAACGAAGATCCATATCCATCGATGTCAGTATTATTTACTGCTGGATGGGTTTTGTTCACTGTAGGTTTTTTTTTATACATTTTTCTAAAAATTAACAAAACTTTTGTTTCTAAAATCAGATATATTGGGTGTTCCTTCTTTTGACATCAGTGGGAAAGAAACAGCATAAAACCATCGCACTGATGAGATTCGCAGCTGCTGCGACGAGATGCCAATTGGTCGCATACGTCTTAGTCGTAATAATCATGAAATAAATACATTTATAAAGGTTTAAAATTTATAAAATAAAAATTACAGTCATTTCTTGCATTGACGGTAATATACATATTGCTGATCTTGCTGTCCGGTGCGATTGAGACGAACGGGAAGTTAATTTTCGAGAAGAAAACCATATCATATGAAAGCAGCAATGCGAAAGATGTGATTAATCAAAATTTCAAAAAACTAGGCGATCACTATACATTTTTTTTTTTTAATTTCAGGTTGCGAGGGGACTTTTGATATTCACATACTGGTGGACGAACCACTTAGTCATTGCGTGTCAGCACCTGGTTATCGCAAGAGTCGTTGCCTTGAAAAGCCTCTACGGGAGGACGACTGGGATATGTTCGGCGAATGCGAATCTCATGCAGTTCCACCTCGGTACAGCTTGCATGGCGTCGTTTATATTCTCGTCGTTCAGCTTTCTTAAAGACATATACGAGGCGTTCCTTCGAATGGGCTCGGTCGACTGTCATCCCTTTACGCCCACCGAATACGACATGGACTATCCCAGGGGTGGTAACTGTTTTAAGCCGATATCAAGAGTCTCATACATACCTGTCTGTGAGTAAGTTTTATAATGAAAAGATAAATGTCAAAAATCGCATCACAAACAGAAGAAAAAAAACACTTTTTAAACTTTATAAGCGTTTGAATTTAGAGACGTGCTAATAATTTAAAATCAAACTTTGTTCTAAAAATTGTTTCTTTTGTATCAACACAGCTGATATGTTGCATTTTAAAATAATTATAAAATAAGTTTAACACTTGTTATGATCATTAAGGTCTGTTCTGTGAACATCTGATACCTGGAGGAAGAAAGGCGACGTACTTATTTCTCCAGAGGCACTTGATTAACTGGCGCGCTTGCAAACATTTCTTAATCATGGTTCATGCCTTCCTTCTCGCGTCTACGACAATAATATTTATCCAGTTGTCTATAGAACACAGCAATAACAAATTGGAGAGCATGATGTATTCTCTGAGTCTGTCGACAATCCATATTTATTTTATCGCTCAGGCTGCTGTTGGACTGATAAGAGTATATTTTTTACATTTTAATTAGATTTTGATATTACTGGGTTTTTTTTAATTTTTAAAATGGCTCAAACAGATGGTTATCGATACGTTGTTCTTCAGCTACTGTTACGACTTGTCTTTAAACAACGGAAAAGAAAGACCTTACATTACAAACCCTGCTTTCATGGTATTGCAAAACTAAATAGAAAATCTTTTATAAAATACTTTTTTTTTTTTTTTTTTAGGAATTTGTGAAAGACATCCCATGGATAAGGCCGAGGAAGGCTAAAGTCAAGTTACTCAGAGAGAAAAAAATATATAAAAAGGAGGAAAAGCCTGTAGTGGACGAGGCCAGTAAGCAGAAGGAGAAGAAACCCAAGGAAGAGAAACAGGAGCAATACGTAAAAGACGACGCCAAACCCGAAGAGCCAGACGAAGAAGAAGAAAAAGGCGATACAAAGAAAAAAGGGACAAAAAGAAAAGGCGAAAAGGGGAAAAAGAAACATAGCGAGAAAGGTAAAAAGGATAAAGGGAAAAAGGAGAAAGGGAAAAAGGAGAAAGGGAAAAAGACAAAAAAAGACAAAAAAAGCGAGAAGGGCGAGGAAGAAAAGGGCGAACCGAGTGAAAAGGGTGAAATGGACGAACCGACCGAAAAGGTCAAAAAGAAAGAAAAGGGCGGCAAAACAAAAAAGGGGAAAAAGAAAGGTAAAAAAGGAGGTAAAGGGAAAAAAGGTGGTAAAAGCAAAAAAGGTAAAAAAAATAAAGTAGCACCGGAATAATTTACCAAGACGAGCCAAGACTCAATGCCTCAAGATTCCTAGATACTTCTAAGGTATTGAAAACTTGAGAAATAACTGCTAACATGCAGACACAAAATGCATCGAGCATGAACATGCCACAGCGGAGTTTTGAAAAAAGATCCTGCTAAAATCTAATTTTACAATCAAAATGTAACATTTCGCCATATTTGGCACAACATGACAGTCAATGTCAATCTCGATTTATACGATGATTTGTTTGAAAATAACAAAATACTAATTTTAATTAAACAACTGAGAACAGGTTGTTAATAACATGTTAATAAGTAATATGAAATCCTAAATTTTGGGAACATCGGACGAACTTTTTAGGGGAAAAAATAACCCATTGGATTAGCAGGCAATGTTTAACATAAATAAAATAAAGTAAGAAAAAAATGGTAAAATATATATTTTTGAAATGTACAATTTACAAAAGTATTTCTTTAAAATTTGTAACTTTTTTTTATGCAAGAGTCCTACATTTGCTAAGTTTTGTCCTGTACAAATTCGGAACTACATCGTATGAGTTGGAGTTTTTTATTTTTAAAACTAAACCAAATGTATCAGGTTTTGAATTAGGTTTTTTAGTCATTATTGAGTTTAACATGCAGACCGTTCTACTAACGACAACTGGTTTTGACAAATATCTACTTATAGTGCAATCTAAAAAAATAAATAAATAATAAAAAAAATTTAAAAATTATTAAGTTTTAAAAAATTTAATAAATTTGAAATGGAACTTACCGAGGAAATATTCAGCTTCTTTACCACTTGCCTGAATGCGCAACACCTTGTTACCAAGTAGGAGGTGAAGTTCGAAACAAAACTCAAAACAAAGAGGACTGGCCACGCCTGGACAAAAACTAAAATAATCAGTCAAAGTTCGACTCGCAAAAGCCAGTTCAATGTTACACAACCTTTATCGACACATTCTGTACAAAAACTGTGCAGTTTCGAGCTGCAGTCGCCGCAGTCGAGGCGTGCCCAGTCTAAATCAATATCAGACATCGGGAACGCTTTCGAACACCCTCTTTTACATATCGCTTTGACGAGGTCGAGGTAACGGTTTATTTCCGGCATGGGAAACATGCCAACAAGGAAGCCTCTAACCTCATATTCGGCATTCGGCATTCGTAACAATTCTGCCAACACTACAATTTCAACAAGAGGTGAATCATGAATGTTTTTCTTAGGGTACATTAAACTTTAACGTCATCAGACTATGATGGAAACCTTTTACTAAAATATGCTTTAAAAAATGGGGCTGATTTTGATAAACGTAGGTGCTGAGGGCAGACCTAAATTCCAAGAGCTAGAGTATAGAGATGGACAATGCAGACAGAACAGAAGAGCTAGGCTACTGGGGTTAAGAAAGGAACACTGTGTCCTTTTAGAGAAGATAAGGTAGGTCCTGGGGATAAGAGATCCTCAGAGCAGACTTGGGGCCACTTGCACAGTGCTTGATTCATGTGCTCAAGTCATTAAAATTAAAAGTTGAAAAAAAGTAATTAGCGTAGGTGTCGGAGTGTTGGGTCGTGGACAAGGGTTAAACCACTTTACAATTTTTCAAACCATTATAAATGAAATAACCATGATCTTTGCTGGGATTCGAACCCAGAGTCAAAATACAAATCAGACACCTTAACCACTTGGCCATCGCAGTACCCAAGCCGCCGAATGTAGCCTTTAGAGAAGAGTTACTTTCCCATCAAACTGCTTTTTACAGTGACCACAAAGACCCAAGATTACAAACAGTGGAAGGGTCACAACCTCATGATTCCATGAGATACTGGAAATTCCATCTGGCCCGCAACGGGACACTGACTGAAAAAAAGAAAGAAAGTAGCTCCAAATCACCTTTTATCTTCAATTAAATGAACGGAACTGCAACAAGTGAAAATTATGCATCTGATCATCTTCGGAACGTGATTTTGAACTGGCATGGATGGCAGACTACTCCAAACAGATGATGAGGAATGAAACAGTCGATTTTGGGTACCGCGGTAGCGTGATAGACTTGTAAACTCACAGTCGTGGGTTGAATTCCCATCATCCCTGGCCATTTTTTTTTTTTTTTTTTTCACGCTACCCTTCATCCCAACTACATATACAGGGTGTTCGGCTACTTGTGTTACAAACAATTTCAGAGTTATTTCACTTTTTCTGATCTTTTAAGATTTCACGACCTTGCTTCAAATAAACAATGATAACTTCAAAACTAAACGGTTTTGGACAAATCCGTTGAGACCATTGAAATCTACGTTAAATTTTCAATAAGATATGATTAATATTAAACTTGTAAACATTAGTGAAATAAGCATTTTTGTAGTGAGGACTTGAAAAATATTTTATTTTTCAAATTGAAATTTCAGAAAACTATTTAATATCCTTTTTAGTGATGCAATTGCTTTTTATAATTACTTTTTCAAAAATGAACCATGTTTTTTCTTTTCCTTCATCAATTTCTTCATCTTTGAAAAAATCAATTAAAAATGCAATTACGCCACTAAAAAGGATATTAAATGGTGTAGGTTTTCTGAAATTTTCTGGTCTCTAGGTTTGGAAATAGTAGTTTAGAAGCAGCATAGGAAATTTTTCAACTTTGAAATAAAAAATTCAAAGTTCTCGCCACTAAAGCGCTTATTTCATTAATGTTTACAAGTTTAATATTAATCATATCTTATCGAAAATTTAACGTAGATTTCAATGGTCTCAACGGATTTGCCCAAAATCTTTTAGTTTTGGAGTTAATTGTTTATTTGAAGCAAGGTCAAGAAATCTTAAAAAATCAGAAAAAGTGAAATAACTCTGAAACTGTGAGATTTGAACCATAGTTAATTAGGACCGTTTTGGTTCCTTTTTGAATGTAGAATCTATTATTGGCAAAGTTTATAACACAAGTAGCCGAACACCCTGTATAATTCAAAACCCAAGGGACCACAAAGGTATTCCAATCATCAGGAGGAAATAAAAAAAATTAAGAGCTGATATGCATTTTTCCAAGTTAAAAGTTATTACTTAAATGGTACATATAAATCATGGTAAAAAAAATCCTGACAAAGTGGATATAGATCAACTGTAAAGTTGAACATTGATACGCATTAATTAAAAAATTGTGAAGTGGTTTTTGTCTCAATGTGGCCTGGCGTCGTTTGTTTAAATGATTTTCCAAAGTGACCAGTGAACACATTGACAAAACACTGATCGCAGAAGAGAAAAAATTAGAAGAAACTTTAGGCTGTAAGTAAGTAAATACGTGTAAATTTAGAGGGATATGACAAAGAAAATGTGAAAATTATAAAAATACTAAGTGGCTTCATTTTGATTAATTATTTTGCTTTTCCTCCACCTGTTTTGAAAAATGTTTTGTATTATCGAGTGTATCAAAATGCACAGAATGTTTTGGATTTGATTCTCTACAGGGGCATCAAAGTTCACTGGATCAAAGTCAAACCAAGCTTCATGCGTTCCTTGCTTTTTATGCAAAAGAACATTGAATGTTGATTCTCTCGTCTGATTAATAGTCAAAACGAAGAATCAGTAGACATTTTCTGAATTATTTTGCCTTATGGTAAAGAATCTTCTAAGCGCAACGACGATAACGGTTGAATCAGTAAAATACTTCAAAAAGACTGGAAATTCTTCAATAAACAATAATAAAAAAGGCAATAGAAGCAGACCAAAAAAATTGATTTGCATGAAATGCCAACTGTCCCATAACCTCCTATCACGTACTTTTAATTTTGAAAAAAATCCTGACTTCTACATCACGACAGTGAGTGTCCCCCAGGGCAGCATCCTAGGGCCATTCCTATTCAAAATTTACACAGATGATATTCCAGTTCTCCTTAGCAACACAACACTAAGCTCTTTTTATCTAACACAGCCATTGCATCAATCCTGATCCTTCCCTAGCTAGTCATAACACCCGACTCCATTTAAACCTTAAACAGTCTTGGACTCAAGAATTTAAAAAAAAAATTAACTTAAGTTACACACCACCTTTACACTCCGAAAATTCACTTGTCCTAGTCTATTTCAACAGAAAACACGCCTCAAATAATATCATTTATCTCATTTGCTTGTTGCTAATAAAAAATAGCAGTGGTAAAAATCATAATAAATACAACAAAAAATATTTTAAAAATATATCTATAACTTTGCAACTAATTTTTGGTGTGAAAGATGCTACTTGATGCTATGATTGCTGGTATATAATGCTATGTATACAAATAAAATTTACAATATAAAATTAATCGTAAAATTATTTTATCATGCAAACCCTCTCAAATTAATCTAATTGACAATAGGGCACATTTAACTGTAAAAATTATATCACGACTTGAAAATTGTAAATTTGTACCTTTTATACAAATAAATTATTTTACCTCTAGATAAATTATTTTAAAATATAAAATAAAATCAACAACTGAATTGTTTCAACATAATATATTATTTACTTTGCCCTCGTGCAATCCTCGAACTCTCACAAGAAGTTTGCCCTGGTCCTTTTTTCTGAAACAAAAATAATAGTAATAAGCTGATACAATGTTGTTAAAAAATCGCCTGCGACTCTTCCTGAAGTCAAAAATAAACTTTATTCTGGGATTTAAAGTCCCCTTGAATAATTAATTAAAAATAGAACATTTTTACAGAGATTCAATACAATACAAAGATGTTCATTAACAAAAACATACATATTGCACAACCACAACAAAAGTGACACAACCCAACAAAAGAAAATTTTACAGGAGAGACAAATGGAAGTTTACTTTTTTTGACTTATATTGTTATGGTTGTTGGCAATAAAAACTGGCATGATCATCAATATTGCCTTTCGTTTCTCAAAGAATTAAGCGAAAACACAAAGTTTTAAAATTCCATCTGTACTCCCCCTAAAAAGCTGTTTTTGAGCTGTGACACTTTTCTTGAACATATTGGCTCTGGCGGTCAATGAATGACTGTAAGGGAATTAATTTTTTTACAAACAGACAAGCATAAATATCCATGTAGGAAGTTTTACTACAAGGGGACGACCAGGTTGGTCATGGATTTTTTGGTCATTTTACACTCCAAAATATCGGACACATATCCGCCACTTCTTGTCAATTGGCACTGGTTTTGCCAAAAATTTTCTTTGAAAGTTGAAATTGACCGTTTTTTAATATTTTTAATTCGTCGTTCTACTTGCTGAAATCAACTATGTTTATATATCATTTGACAGCATTTTTTATGTAGATTGCAATAAAAATAATAGTAAAAGCTGTAAAAGTTTATCAATAACAAAAAAATTTCAAAAAACAAATTTTTTTTCAAGTAAACTAGGTCATAATTTTTTTGTCTTAAAACTAATATGAAATTTCGTTTTAGCCTACCTCTAGAGACCCTTAAATATAAATTTTTGCTTGAATTAAATTTATCAATATTTTGACCATTAAAATGTTTCCGGTTTTTAAGAAGTCGTTATTGGAATATCTGGAAAGGCTATAATACAAAAACGGCTAAAAGGATTTTAATTTCAAACTTACCATTTGAAAGAGGAACATAGTTTTGTATCGACGTATGTATCATAAAAATATACAAAAAAATTTCTCTAAGAAAATACTCAAAATAGGAAAATTATTTGTCAAAAAATTAACTTTTTGTTTTAATGGAAATAATAATCTGATTTTACTGTTTGATACATTTATAAAATGCGCTTGACAATTCCTTTTAAAAAAACATCAACCATAAAAATCGGTCTCTAGGTTTTGAGAATAATGATGTTAGAGCTTGCACTAGTTATATCAGTCGCGTCGAAATTATCAGTAAAAAAAATTAACACCGATTTCTGCAAAAGCCATATCTAACGGTTTTATAACGCTAGAATCACATCAATTAGGTCAAATCCAAGTTTGGAACATTTTCTGACCTACTTTGTTACAGGATGTTTGTTAAAATATGCCCACCAAAAAAGCAGTATTTTGTTGATTTATCTTTTTAAAACATACTAAATGATATTCTACATCGTCGAACATTTTTGTTTTATGTTAACCAACAATGAAATTATTATACCAAAAATAATATTTTTTATCTATAAATAACAATTTATGCGCATTTAATTAAATTATTGTATACTTACAATTTTTATTAATATTTATATACAATATAAATAAATTCCAATCAACTATTCTTTTTATTCGAGGTTTTTGGTAGAGATGAAAAATTAAGTATCACAAGCGAGATTCGAACCCACGACCTTCAGCTCAATTCGCCGCTACTCTACGACTTGAGCTATCGTTACTGTCACCAAGAGGATCCTCTTGGACATCAACTTCCAATCTCAAACCACAATTTTCCCTCCTTTTCCTATATTTTCATATTCTTGGATTGGTATCCCTACTAATTTTTCATCTCAACTAAAAACCTTAGATAAAAAGAATAAAATCAATTGGAATACTCATTTTTTTTTCCGAAATGAAAAATTAATTGAGTATTTATATTTAATAGAAGCTGATAAAATTTAGTAACAATTGGAATAATTAAACAGTCAATTATGACCACTAAGGCAAATATGGATTAGTTTAATAAATAAATTCATTCAACCAGAATTATATTTGCTCCCTCCTGTTTAAAAATTAATTAATATGAATTCTGTTGAGAATGTACTGGAGTGTTTTGCCAATCAACATCCATTAAACTAAATTTAAAATAATGAATTAATAAAGGGCAAAAAACAAATAAACAAAATGTATTACACACAAAATAATATTTCTTAATCTATAAATAATGATTTATGTTCATTTTATTAAAATTTATTTTATTCTCCTAATTTTTTTTATTTACATTTTTATTTTTTATTTTTATATGAAATTTCTTCTCAGGCTTCTTGTTTTTTACCCTTACTATATTTTTATTGCTACCTACATAAAAAATGCTGTAAAATGTAAAATTCACAGTTGATTTGAGCAAGTAGAACGGAGAAATTAAAATATTAAAAAACGGTAAATTTCAGCTGTAAAAAAAAATTTGCCGAAACCAGGGCCTATTTACAAGAAGTCGCAGGATATGTGTCTGATATTTTGGAGTGCAGAATCGCCAAAAAAACGTTTGGACCAAATCCGTGACACACCAGCTTGGTCTTCACCTTGTAAGATTATTTTTGACATGAAGTTCCGGAATCAGGCCCAATTCGTAATTTAAAATACAAAATTAATTAATGAAATAAAGGTTTCATCGATTAATAAAAAATAATGTAATTAAATTTAAAAAATCGTCGAAACTATAAAATAATGTAAAAGTTAAAAAATTATGATGAAAAAGCGATATTATAATTAAAAGTGTTGTTAAAATAAAAGAAATGAAACCAAAAGAATTCACGGACTCTCTTGGCCTGGAAAAAAGGTCATCATCAGGACCTATATTAATTTCACATTATGAAAAACATATTTTAGAACTGATTTAACAATAATTGTTTTTCATAAGACTCTGATACAGCATAAAATCCTTCAGTAAAAAAGATAAATCTGACAATTAATTAAGGTTTTTAGTTGAGATAAAAAAGTCAGTGTCACGAGCGGGATTCAAACCGACGACCCGGGGTTGAGATGGGAAGTTAGTGTCCGAGTGGTTTGAAGTCACGATAGCTCAAGTGATAGAGTAGCAGCGTATCAAGCCGAAGGTCAAGGGTTCGAATCCCGCTCGTGACACTTACTTTTTTATCTCAACTAAAAACCTTAATTAATTGAATGAAATTAATTGGTCAAGCGGACCACGAAAACTAGTGAATTTGATAAAACTGATGTTACTCAAAACATGACACTTTTCATGAATAGTGACAGTTTGTTCCTGCCAATTTAAAAGTGGCACATAGTGCTGCCTAGGTAAGAGTCTGCCTAAAGTTGTGTCATTTTTCCTGTAGCATCACACCCAGATACTTTTTTAAAAAATTAACCGGTTTTTATAATTTTTTAACATGTGTCACTTTTGTTGTGGGTGTGTGTACAATATAAAGTGAACCAAAGCCAACCCAGAGGAAAAAATAATGAGTTAGGATTTTCACCTTCCATATTCACCTGACCTCTTGCCTACAGATTTCAACTTTTTTTGGCATTTTGATCATATATTGAGGAATAAAATTTGTAGAGAATGCAGTGAAGCTGAAAACGCCATCCAAGACTTTATTGTAAGTCAAAATAATGATTTTTATGTTTTTATATGCTTATTACACATTGGCATGTGTAAATTGTGATGGAAAATATTTCGAATAAATTTTCTTTATTTTATGAAAATGAAAAAAAGTTTTGACTGCCTTTTCAAAATGTGCATTATTTTTGCACCAGCACAAAGTTTACATAATACATACACAACATTTTACATAATAAATGGAAATTACCTGTGATTTCCTTTTATGGGTTGTATTCGAATCGAGCTCTTCCGTACTATTGTGGCTCCCAGAATGATTTTCAACCTCCATCATTACAGGGACTGTTTTATTGACAGGGCTGTTTTGAGCCGAACTGTATTCGTCTTCTTCTTCTTCACTGTCGCTGTCCTGAACCAATTTATTCAAGTCCAACGTCGGTTCAGAGTCTTCGTTCTGTTCGATCTGTTCCACTGTGCTGCTGTGCTCTGAGTCTATGAGATTGATAACTTCCGGTGATTTATTCATCTTTGACAATGGCGAATTGGTCGCACTGTTCGGCGGTACGGTGACATCTTTCATGAAAATGTCAGAACCTTCCGGAACGGTAAACAACCTGAGTTTTTTCCTTATCTGAGGCTGGGTGACTTTTTCAGGACTGATCCGCCTCTTAGGGCTTCTTTCACACCCTTTGTCTACTGAAAGTCCACACTCTTCTAAAGTGTTGACCCACTCTTCAGTCCTGTTCGGAATGGGTGTGCTAGAAGCGTGTTCTAACCTAGGTAGAGCGCATTCTTCCTCGTGCAAGCTCGAAGGCGCTCTCACGGCGTCGTTCTCACTTATGCTTTCACAATTTTCAAAATTCTCTTGAGAAACTGGCCCTTTATTAATAGGTGACCAACAATGTCGGTGCTGCGGCCCCTCCTTTATATGCCGATGAGAGTTTCCTTCTGCATTCATTTTCAGAAGCTCGAGTATGGAAAGATTCCTGGCGCACGTTGTGCCATGGACACAACAGCCGAATAAAGTGTCGAGTTTCAATATAAGCTTTAAACAGCAGCATTTCACGTTGTACCTATCTTTTTTACCATTGGGAATTCGATTTTTACTACTATTCTCTTCGTTGCATTTACAACGACAGGAGGAAGTCTGCGATTCGTCAGTTATCGTAACCGGCTTATTTGCAGCATCCTTTAATTTTACAGGTGCTTTGTTTGACTTTGTCACTGATGCCGGTTTCACTATTTCAGCCTGAATTTCACTATTATCGACTGACAAAGGCATATCAAGAGTTTGATCCTCAATTGCGGGTTTTAAGTTGTCAACGACATGCTCATTTTTGTCGGATTTGACACTTTTCTTTTTTTCTTTTTCTTTGTCAACCGTCTCGTCTTTATCTCGATCACGCACATTAGCCACTTCTTCATCTGCATTCATAATCTGTTCTGGAAAGTCACCATCAAATTCCAATGTATCAAACTTAACCTAAAAAAAAGTCAAATATAAAATCAATAAAATAAAATTATACGAGTTCTAACCACTCACTAAAGGTTTACAATGCCAAACGATCGGTATGGGATGAGTCGGCCCTACGACTAGTGTCAACGAAGACGGAGATTTCATCAGCTTCGGGTTAATGATGCACAAAACATCTTTCTCGTGGACTTGATTCAGTTCCAAACGGTGGACGATGTCCCCCAAGAAGACGACTCTTATCCTGATTCCTTTTTTATTTTTGGGACCGACTAAAAAAAATAAAAATAAAACCCAACTGGCAGACAACATCGAAAAACACCATCTTACATGTTTTCAGCATCATCGTCCAACACTCGCATCTTCCGCCTTCAAGAGATTTGGGACGGACCCTCGGGTAGATTTCAATAACCGTGCCCTGAAATACAATAAAATCATTATTTTGAAAAAGATCAACTTGAAGAATCAGACATACAAATGAAAATGTAATAAAATGATATCTGCATGTCAAGCCTGAACCTTAAATCTGCCATCACTATTCACTTTTGTCAGCCAGGACAAAAAATTTTCATTAATTAATCTGTTTTATTAGTCAATGATATGTACAAAAGAAAAAATAGAGAACAGACCAAGATTTATAATTTGGAAAAAGGGCACAGAAGGAAAACAACACGACCTGACCATGAAAACACAAATTCAAATCAATACGTGATTACCCCCGATGAAAAGATAAATTGAGGAACGGTAAGGCAATTATTAAGACGGAAAATAATATTAGCGCTAAAAATCGCTAAGCCTTATGAAAAATGTATACAGTAATCCCTTAACATTCGCTGGCGTTTGGTGCCAGAAAACTGTGAATGTTAAATCCGAAAATGCTGATTCTATTTTCCTATACTATAAGGAGGGTTACACTCCATGACACTAAATTGAGATAAATAATTGTTCATAAGAATTATTCAGAACTACAAAAAAAAAACAACAGTTTATTCAAAATAAACAAACCAGAAGACATAACAGTGTTTGAACGTATTAATTGTTTTCATTGTTTGTATTTTTTGATGTGCAAGGAAAGAAATAACTGTTTATTGTTCGCTGTTTCGCTGAATAATTAATTTCTTTAATAATTTCCACAAAAGGATTTGAAGCGGGCTCGACATCCCTTTTAAACTCAAAACTTTTAATTTAATCATGGGTCGAAATCCGTTGTTTTTTTAATAAGATGATCCCTTCACGTTAAAATTTCCCTGAGCTGTTTTGAAAAGAAAGCTTTGGTTTGCATAAAAAATGTAACGTCAAAAATTTTTATTCTTTCAATGAGAGTCAGGACGGTTTTTTTCCCTTTTTGGACGAGGAGGCATTTTTTGACACAAATTCCTCAAGAGAATAAAACAAACTGAGGAGAAAGAGGGAACAGTGTGTTGAAAGCAGGCAAAAATTTTCTGAGAGTTAATTAAATCCTCCAATCCATTTTTTAAAGAATTACTTTGAGATATTTTCCGGGTTCGCTTGACCAATCAATTAATTAAGGTTTTAAGTTCGGAAAAAAAGTCAGTGTCACGAGCGGGATTCGAACCCACGACCTTCAGCTTGATACGCCGCTACTCTACCACTTGAGCTATTGTGACTTCGATCCCCTCGGGCACCAACTTCCCATCTCAACCACACAGCGTATCAAGCCGAAGGTCGTGGGTTCGAATCCCGCTCGTGACAGACTTTTTTATCTCAACATAAAACCTTCATTTATAAAAACAAAATTTTTTACATGTTCTTTTTTCCACGAAAAAAGAAATCAGACTTCCGCAAATGTCAAATCTTTCCTCATTTTTTCATATATGAATAGTGAAAACTGCAAATGTCAAAACGATGATTGTTAAGGGATTACTGTACACTCATCACTGATTGAGCTTCAATTCAGTTTTGGTTTCAGAAATAGTTCTATATAGTTTTATCAACCAAGTCATAAGAATTTTTCAGTTACTCGTCTGTTTTATTAACATTTAGGATTGAGAAAAGAAGGGACAACGCAACCTGATCATGTCAAACCCAAATTCAGATCAACAGAGAGATAGATTGAGGTATAGGGATAAAAGAGGTGGCCTATGCACCTCGACCTGAATAGATCTACTGTGATCCTCTGTTCTTTATAACTCACTGGCCAGCTTCAGGTAGTTAACCTCCATAGCTTTGCCAGCTGCTCCTGTAGGATCATTCTTGCAGGTTTTCCTCCTCTAGTTGCAAGAATCTGTCTAAATAGACCTTCACTAAAACATAAAATGTTTTCTGCGGCTTCTTCCTGGTAGTATTTGCACTGTTTTCCTGTCTGGACTCATATTCAGTTCAGGTGCCTTCTGTGGCAGCGCCCTGTCAGGAGTCTGACCATGATACTGGTTCGGTTGCGGTCGTGTACCAGTAATTCTTTCTAAATTTTGCTGTTGGCCCTTCAATGAATCTCTTCACATTCCTCATCATTGTTCCACCAGGATTTGAACTCAGTGAGGATCCATGTTAATCTTTTTCTGTGATGAGATGGCAAGGCCTAGAGAATCCATGTTGATTCCTCTTTGGTCAACATGTCAACCTTTTCACTGCTTCTAGAGACCCATGCCAGGATCTTGATCATTGGTTAGATTGAAATATAAACAATTATTAAGGCAGATATGACTATTTACGTTTTTGGCTTGAGAAAAATGTATTTACACTGTCTCACTTACAACGACAATCTTTTTCTTCGTCCCTTTGAAACTCTCGACGTCCCCGACGTCGACGCACTTTCCGAAGGAGCGGATCCTGGTGATGATGTCTGAAAAGCTTTTGCACTCGTCGAGATTGACGCAGAGGGCCATTCTGCGATGATGATGAAGTTCCGGTCTTGAAACTTCAAAACGACCCTAATCAAAGTTGTAAGGCGAGTTTTGTTTTATAAGTAAAACCTCTCGGGAGGAACGAACCCTAACGAGCGAGGGTTGATCACCAAACAGTAAAGCCTTCGATGTAGAATCGATATTTTTGTGTTGACCTTAGCTACAAAAAAAAGATCACGGTTTATCGATGATGCTTGAAATCCATTGAATTGATGCTTGTTATACAAAGAATCGAATCTCTACAATTCAACTGTACAGTAATTAACAAAAACAAAAAACACCCTGATTCGCGTTGAACGACCGATTCTTAATCGATAGAATCGAATCTCTACAATTCAACTGTACAGTAATTAACAAAAACAAAAAACACCCTGAATCGCGTNATTATAAATTATATAAATTATAATAAAACAAGCGCCAGTAATTTTATTTACTTTTTTGCAATTATTTGTTTAATTCTTGTTATCAGTATAGTAGATCATATTTTATTTATTAAATCTGCTGCCTTCAAAAAGCTGAATGTCTCCTAATATGTCATACAGCGCATTCCGGAGAGAATAACATTTTCTTATATCATGATATATGCTCCATGATAGTAAAATATGTTTTGTTCTTATTATTTCATTGCATGCTCCGAATACGGCGGAGGGACCATTAAGTGACCCTTGATGGTCAGACAGTGTCCTATTCTCAACCTACTCAATACAACCAACTCCCTTCTTTTCAACCTAAACGATGACCTTAGATAAAAATCATAATTAATTGAAATATTATGTACAGTAATTAGTACTATGTAATACTACTACTGTACTATGTAATATAGTCAATTATGACCTCTAAACATTTATGAATTAAAATAACACAATGTTTAAATTTTCATATCTAGAAATACTAGTAGTACCAATAAGTAAAAGATATATTGATCAAGTCGATAGGTGAATTTAGGACAAATCGTCGTGTGGGTAAAAGCTGTCCTGTAGGTTTTTATCGCCCTTCACCCCCATTACAAACCAAACCAGTCCCTAACCCTAGCCCTACCTAGTCTAACCTAACCTCACACAATCCGTCCTTCCGTCAACTGAACTCAAACCATGCGCTCATCTGACATGATGTGTCGGTCTACCTTTTGAGCTAGTCCTAGACGTGTTAGTGTAGGCCACAGATTCAGTAGTAAAAAGTGGAGTACTAATCAAAAAATAATGTTGGAATCGATCATGTCAGCCCAAATTAATCTTGACGGCAGGACTGATGGTCGACAAAAGAAGGTAGAAGAGAACATGGGAGATCGCGTCGTGCTAGACCTCCACCTTACCTCGACCGCGATGTGCAAATTACAACTGCCTCTAATTACATTTGCGTTAAATTATTTTTCTTACAATAGACAATTGCCAATTGAACAACGATTAGACAGATCTACTATGCGATTATACGGTAGAGCGCCATAGAGAAATAAAAGCCCAGCATAATTTTTACTCCTCTGTATTTTCTTCTTGCTCCACATAAGAATCTCGCTTTTTTGAATTGGGCCGACGCCAATCGGGTCGTTTGTAAGCGTAGATTTTCTTCGGCTTCCATTTGATCCCTTTGAATTCGTCTACCCTGAACTGGTGCACCTTGTCCTGGTACATCTTCTCGACGACCTCTTCGATATTCTTCCTGTCGCGGACCTTCACCATGTCCTTCATGCGTAGACGGTCTATCTTGATGCGAGGCCGATCCGGGTAGCCCTTTCTGTCGAGTAGCGCCTCCTCCGAGTGGGCCATATCGCAGCACTTGAGCTCCACGTCCCTCTCCGGTTGTTCGAGGTTGAGCCAAGCCTTCGGATCCTGGAAGTCGGTTATCTCCGGCATCTTGATCTCGTCCCTCTTGAGCCCTTCGACGTAATAGTCGTCGTCCTCGTCGCTGTCCGGCCCCGGGTTGATCACCCTCTCCATATCCATGTTCATGTCGTCTTCATACCTTTCCCTAAATTCCTTCCTTAGTCTGTCTACCTGTAAACACCGTCAACTAAAAATAGCACTGAACCATCAAAACAAAAACTTACAACTTGTTTTTTATCTTCTTCAGTTTCAATTTCATAGAAGGAAGAATCATCTAGATTCATCAACTATAATAAAAAATCGACCAAGATTTATATTGTTTCTTGTAGTTTTTAAAATTTTTTAACCTTTTCGTATGTGATTTTATCGTGTAGAGGGCAATCACATTCGTCGATGAGGCTGTGACATTCTCTGGCCAGCCTCTTCCTGAAGGACTCGTCGTGGATGTACTTGAAAGTGATCTGCGCTATCGTCTGATCCTCGTCGGTACCCCAGTTGCCGTCTAGCATCTGAAATCCCCCGAGATGAACGTTGTCTGTACGGGAAAAACTGATTTTACCCTTACGTTCATGATGAGAGCGTAGTCGAGGTGGGCCGATTCCAGGTGGGGCTCCGGCAACGGCAGCTCCTCCTTGTCGATGACGTTCCTCGATTTCTCGTAGACGTCTGGGCAGCTCGGACCGTTCCTCAGGAACGTCGCCTGCTCGCCGAGGGTCAGCTGGGGCCATGTCTCCTTCGGTATAGGTGTCTCCAGCTTCTCCTCGATCGGTTTATGGTCTGTCGAGATACTTTTGATGCTTTCTTTCTCATCATGGGTTGTCATCGAACTGAACCCCAATCTGGAATAAATATCGGCTTTTCAGACAGAACCGACCTTAGGACACATTTTCTCATACCTCGTATCGCTTCTTGCCAACGTTTCCATAGACAGCGAGCTCTTCAAACTTAACGAATCAACGATCTCATTGAAGTTTCCGGGGTCTTGCGTCTTGAAATCCTTGTCTCTTGGTACTGAAAATTAAAAAGACTAATTTTACCATTAATGGTAAGTAAAAGCTACCATAGATCAAGGCTAAAAATATAGTATCAGTTAAACCACACCCACTTTTGTGTAATTGTACAACAGATTCATCAGCCAAACCATGCCTACTCGGACATCATTAACGACTAACCAGCTGACAAGCCCACTTTTCATCACGAAAAGGTACACTCACAGAGCTTGATTAGATGGCTGACTAGACAGATAATTAAAAGGGAAATTGATTTAAGTAAATCTGTTGAGAAATTGGATAAAAATTTATAAAATATTGTCTAAAACAAGAGGTCAACTACTTGGTAAAAGTACGTAAAAACCAAAAAATGCTAGGCGTGTTAACAATTGCCAACTTCAACTTTAACGCATTATATTATCTCCAGTAACAAAGCCACTTGACGTCATTTGATATAGCCGTTAAACCACGCCCACTTTAACTTCATTTAATATAACCGTTAAGGCACTCCCACTTTGACATTTATACCAGTAAAGCCACGCCCGTTTTGATGTAATTTAATAAACCCATTAAGCCACGCCCACTTAGACATCATTTGAATATCAGTAAAACCACGCACACGTTGACCTCATTTAACAAATCATTTATGCCCCCTCCCCCAATTTGATGTTATTTAAAACAGCCCAAGCCATGCACACTTATACATCATTTGAATACTAGTTAAACTATACACGTTGACCTCATTTTACGTAGCAGTTGTGCCTCTACCCAAATTTAATTTTATTTCACAATAACTAAGACTAATTTGACAAACCAGTGATGTTTGCTTTGTCATCACTGGGTAGCAATGAACAACCGGTCATTGTGCGATTGTATGCAGTTTAGCCACTGTTACAATGAGGTTGAATAGTTTCATAACCAGCTCAGCCACACCCAATTTTGTGCCAACTGAGAGCCACAGCCACTATATTGAAGTTTAATTGTAATTATACAACTGCACGCAACATGTATTCAATTAAAACCTTTAAGTCACTGACCGACGCGGTAGTGGCCAAAGAAGCTGTCGTAGATCATTTTATCCAGTTTGTCGTCTGAAATCGCCGAGACGCGGTGCATCATATGTTTCGAATACTTGTCGTGCATCATCATTTGTTCGTCGCCTGTGGCTTCGATATTCAAGGCGATCTTCGACTCCATCTTTTTGGCCGAGTCCTTCTTTTTGTATATGGGCAGCTTGTATTGGGCCGCCATGCTGCGACTGCGGTTCTTCTCGTGGGAGTTGTTCCTTTCGACAGTATGATTCCATGAGTGGTCGTCGTCCTCCTCTTCCATGGCCCAGTCATCAACCAACAGCTCCATCTCGTCAGACAGCATCATAATTTTTTTCATCTTGTTTTTTTATTACCGGTTTACAAATTTTGTTGCAAAATCTATACTTCTATTTTGTTGTTTTCTTTTCAAAAAGAGATATTACAGCGGCTATTTTGTTTTAGAAATCTTAAGCTATTTACAAAATAATCTGTGCAACTACGACTACTTCTTATATAAAACAAAAACTAGGTTTTTCAAATTCTAGCTAAAATCACATGACAATTAAAACAAATGTGCTTTTGTAGTCCAACTGATGTTGAATGTGTTTACTAACCGAAGCAATAGGTGCCTATTGTATCCGTCGATAGGAATTTCCTCATGTAATTGTGCTCGTGAGACGAGAAGCTTTGTGTCAGGAGGATACTCTTCCTCGAATTCCTCTGACGGCTCAGGAATTCATAGTTGTCCTCCATCTGCTTATCATTCATTTCTTTGATGTCCTTGAACGTAGTCGATTTCCTTCTCACAGCCCAGTCTATGGAACTGTTTTCCTTAATCGTCTTCACGTTGCTGAGGAGGGTGCGGATCATGTCGCTGTCATAGGAGGTGATCGAGCGCCTTTGCTCGTGAAGTGAACTGTCGGTTTCGAACGCCGTCACGCCGCTCATCTTGTGCAAGAAAAAATCGAATTTTGAACGATGGGAAAAAAACCGAATTTTACAAAAAAAAATAAATAAATAAAAACTATCTACACAGTAAAGTGAATTTTTCAATAAAAATTTCACATATGGACTGAACTTTTTATTTAACACATTTGCTTTTCTTAAGCCCACATGAGAACTATGCTTATTAAACTTTATTAATGAAAATACATTTTCGTTAGGAGGAAAAAATTGGGTTGTCAGGAAAATAATGCAGGTTTATGATTATAAAATAAAAACAAATAATTTTTTTTGTCTTCAATTTTGTATTTTTTTGTTTTATGAAGGTTCGCAACATCAGAGGTTGTATCAACCCTCGGGGCATTTGAAAAAAGCCCAATTGTAACCATGCAGGGCAGCAGGATTCGAACCCGACACGTATACCTTACAAGGATGAACGCCATGTCAACGACCGTTGCGGCCAACGACGCCCCCTTGTGCTTTATTATTAATCAATTCTGTAAACCCATTTTTTAATTTTTTTGTCCTAGTGTCTGAGAAATGGTAGTCGGTAGGAGAAGTTTGGAGAATAAGGAGGATGAGGCAGAACTTCATAACCTCAAATCTTCCATCATTTTTAGTGTTGTCACGTGAGAGATGTAAGGCTGAGTGTTGTCTGCCTTTTGCAATTGACCAAACATGGCGTCAAGAATGCCAATTTTTGATGCATCGCTTCAATTTAAGGATCAATACATTTCGGCGATTGTTTTGCCAGGATTTAAGATGCTGTAGTAAATCAGACAAAGTGAAGCCCACCAAAGAGTCGCCATCACCTTTTTTCGATGAGGGCTTTGGAAAATCTGGTGCTACTTCTCCTTTCTCCAGCCACTGTCCAGTACGTCCGCTATTAACGTAGAGAATCCACTTATCACAAGTAACAATTCTATACATAGGTACAAAAAAGGTTTCTGTTTCGGCAGTGTTGTGCGAACGTCATAAGGATGATTTTGCCTTAAGGTGGTCATCAACGGTCGATTTCCTAACTGAAAGATTCTCTGCAAGTTCTCGAACTGTTCTGGGATTTTCTTAGACCAAAGCTCGCAGAATATCACCATCTAGGGACAACCCAATAGTCATCCGTCTACCCCAAATTGAAAAAGGAATTTTTTTTTATTATACATATTTATATTGCCACAGGAAATGATACTAGAGGTGTATTGTATTATTGTACGCATTAGCCGACACGAATCACAATCCACGTTGCTGGATTCTTGAGCTAATATGCGTCGAAGTGGGCGTGGCTTAACTAGCATGTTAAATTGCATAAATGTGTTGGATGGCTTAAATAGTAGGTCAAATTAGGTTTTAAAAAATGGGCGGGGCTTAACTGGTGTGTGAAATTAGTTTAATAATTGGCGTGGCTTAGCTGGTAATCAAATGGTGTCAAATGTTATGCTTCAAGGTGTGCGAGGCTAAGGTCTTAGACAAACTGGCCACGCCCACCGCTATACATTCATTAGACAATGAAGCATGTTAGTAGAGCCACTTTTTCGTCATTAGACAATAGTCATGGCAGTGGAGGTTTTCGTTCATTATAAAAACGACTGACTCAATTGACTGACTCGCTACTTTTGTTAACGCGAACTCCAAACAAGCTTAGAAGCTTTTTACCTCTTGTTGTTGTTGCCAGCCATAATAATGACTACCGTCACACTCCATACCTAACGCCACCTTTTCTTTAAACAAAGGTTGTTCCTCTAACATTAATAATATTGCTCCTGCACTATTCGCTCCGCAGTTTCTATTAACATTCAAGCACCGCCAAAAAGAGTATTATAGGGAAACCGACCAAAATCCACGAACCAAACCGAATACTCAGGAGTTACAGTTTACAATTGAAATCTTACCTACGAAATAAGGCCACTTTTTAAAGCGGTAACAGATAGGCATCGATTCTCTGAAGTTACGCGGCATCGTCCAATGATGGCGCAATTCCATCGACTTGAACGTCTGAGCGCTTTTGCGAGAATCGAACGACACCACCTTGGTGTGGTCTTTTTGCATCTCTCTCTCGATCCTGCCAGACTTTAGGGTCAGGTCCTACGGTCGCGTTTCAATGTAGTGACGATTTCGATGTAATTAACTGTTTTATTACCAATTCGGACCGCACGCTGCTCAAAGGGCTCTTCGACTGACGCTTAGCCGACAATACCTCCTTGGACCTGAGCAGTACAAAAGCCCGGGCGAATCTTCCGAAGTTCTGCCTTGACAAAATTCCGTTTATTAAAACCGTCGCGAAAACAAATTTCGGATTTAACTTTCAAACCTTCTCTATCTGCTTCGCCTTTGACTTCGGAGATAGGCTTTTCTTTTTAACACTGGTTGGATATTTGTTCGCCTTGTCCTTCGGCATCTGGAAAAGTTCAAACATGAAAAATGTCCGCTCCTCGAATAGCAAAATCTCACTTTGTGTGATATATGTTTATTCTTGTGATAGACTTGGTACTTCTCTATATTCTTCGGTTTGTTCATCGCTTGGGATAATTGAGAAACGCTAGCTAGATATTGAATAAACCTATTTTCAAATTATATAAACCAAATTGTAGTTTTTTTCTTCTATAAGCTAGTGTAAATAAATCTACACCAGATGAATCGATTGTTTCACATATGATAAAATCAACTATTTCATGTTTAGAAAAATATTTCTCCCATTATGAGAACATGGTCATTGATTACAAGATTCGAAAAGTAAAACCTTTAGTTTCATCGTTTCATCATCAACGTTTTAAGCGAATTTGATATATAAGAGCTGTAGTTACAGATGAAATAGAAATTACTTCTTAATGTTGGGTCAAGGGAACTTTCCAATAACTTCAAATTTGGGTGTGTTTAAGCTAGGTGATGGTTCGTTTGTTTAATCCATCGACACGTTAAAGTAATTTTGGCTATGTTGGATGGGATGTGGTGAAGACGTAAAAATGGGCGTGGCTTATCCTTGTCTATCGTGCTATGGCATAAGAGGCTTCTGCCCCGTGGCGTGAAAGTGGGCGTGGCTTCTACACTGTAGCGTGAAAGTGGGCGTGGCTTCTACACTGTCTCGTGAAAGTGGGCGTGGCTTCTACACTGTATCGTGAAAGTGGGCGTGGCTTCTACACTGTATCGTGAAAGTGGGCATGGCTTCAATCGTTATTTTACGAAACAATAAAATTATAATAGACGTGGCTCTATTGAATTACCATTCACCAATGATATACATAAACGTACCGTTGTATTTTTGGAATGACTATCGTCTAATCACATTGAAGCCGACAGAACAAGATAAAACATTTACACTTACTACGACATCATCGTAAATCATTTTATGATTTACAAACCAAATTAGCCACACCCACTTTGAAGTAATAGAATCTCAGCCAATCGTCTCATCAAGTCAAAGGGTTTACAGACCAGGAGTATTAATAGATAAAATGCATTGCATGCGTATAATGCGTATGATATAATGCACTTGCAATAGATATATGCTTATTGTTGAAAATTAACAAAAAAGGAGGTGCCCCTAACAATATATAGATATCACAACACATACAAATCTGTATAATTAAGAGAATTATAGTAAAATTTGGAAGGCCTATAAATCCTTTTTTTATTTCCTCAACTATTTGTTGAACTACTTTATTCAGTATAACCATTAAAACGTCGTCGATAAATATATCAACAATCTAAAATGGTTGTATATTGATTTTTAAATGGAAGTCGAGCGTTAAAAAGATCGTCGATGGTGATTAGATAGTGTGAAAGCCTCGGTTTCGAGCAATAGTCGCCGAGAAGAACCATGAGGCGTTTCAGGAGATCAAAGATCGCAAATTACATCCAGGAGTTCGGGAATGAAACGACCCTGCACGGCATACCACATTTAATCAAGCCCAAAGTACACTACCTGGAAAAGTGAGAAGTTTTTGGCGTTTGTCTGTATTTTTTTCTATGACTTTTTTTTACAGGATTATGTGGGTAGTCATAGTCGCCTTGTCGACAGGAGGTGCGATGTCGCTTATCCTGAACTCTTGGAACCGATACAACGCCAACCCAACAGTCATATCCCTCGAAAAAGACTTCAGGGACTGGAATCTCACCTTCCCCGCTTCCACGGTAAATACATAGCGTTTTTTATTGATGTTGTAACGTTATTAAAGAAAGCACAATTGTGTTTTTTAAGGCTTGCTTCTTGAACCGGCTGAACGATACACTCGCAGACGATTACATATATGAGTACAATGTCGAATAAATTATTTATTAATTTTAATTAATTAACGAATGAACACGATACAGGAAATGGGGAATCGACCCGAACACGACAGAGGGCGAGAAGTACAAGGCTTTCTTGGACTCCGTCGTCAACCTGACCTGGGCGAATATGGACAGCTTCAAAAACTTCACAGATTCGGAAGTATTCACTTCCCTAACCGGCGAGCAACTCGTCGACATAGCGAGAAATGTAGATTAATCGATAATGTAATTAATTAATATTTCATACTTAGCTCTGGTCTAGGTGATGGTGGAGATGATCTTCCACTCGAACATATTCAACCCGATTTACAAAAATATCTCTTTCGAACCGACCGTGACTGAAATGGGCTACTGCTATAGTTACAGCTCGATAGTCTCGAGTTTCCTGCATTTTAAGTGAGTACGAACTTTAAACGGCTAGAAAAACGTACGAAATTTAAAAAAAAAAAAAAACTGGCGTAGAGAAGAGGTTAATCGTAAGAACTGTGACGTCAAATTGGGCGTGGCTTAGAATGTTAATGTTATGATGACGTCACAGTTGGTAAGTCCAATAATCCAATAACATCACAGTTGGTGTGGCTTAAACCATAAATCGTTCTTTGTTGGTAATTCATACCGATGGTGACATGGTCCCTTGCCAGGGGTTCAATGACGTCAAATTGAACATCGATAATGTTGCCCAATTTTGTACAACTGGACGTAGCTAAGGTAGATGAAGGACATTTGTCCATTAACATCCAATTTGGACTCGCTGAGCTTATTTCAGTTGCCTAATGACATCAAAGTATGTGTGACTAACTGGATCTACTCTCTCAACATGTACAAAGACAATTAATCGAATAGAATAGTTTCTTTACAACTTATATATTGTGATTCTTCACATTTAGTTTGAGTGTGACATTTTTTAGGGATCAAGCCGTTGTGACTTATAAAAAGGACCTTCCAGTCTGTAATTATCTGAATTCATTGTGTTACGCTCGGATAGAAGATCTGCCGACTACTGTCAAAGTATAATTATATTATTATATGTTAATTATTTTATTTAATTTTTGTTTCTATTTAGTATTACATACATTCACCTTATGAAATACCGGACGTGAACGACAAGTATTTCGTTGTGATTCAGAACATGGAAAGGGACACGTCGTTCCGTTTCCAGGAGATGGTCGCGTCTGAGGACCTGAGGAGGCTGGACCCGATGCAGCGCCAGTGTCGCTTCGTCGACGAGCCCCTCGAAGGAGACAAGTTTTACAGCTACAACCTGTGCATGATGAACTGTAGGAAGAGGGTGGCGGTCGGACTGTGCGGCTGCATGCCGTATTTCTACATAAAGGGCGACGGAGCGAAACTGTGCGACGTCAAAGGGCTGGCCTGTCTCTCCAAGTACAAAGAACGGATCGTTCGTCTCAGGGAGGAAGACGGACGGCGCATCCACTGCAACTGCCTCTTTCAGTGCGAATACACTTCATTCTACATCGACAAAGACGCCCAACGTCAATGGTAACAATGTCATATACACACAATATATTCTATTCACATGACATATATTAGACAATTGTACATTGGCGTCATAACTAATTATTCATGCCACCTTGACGTCATACTGGGCATACCCTTAAATAGTTAGGCACCTTACAAAAAGGAAGTTGTTCAGTTCATACCGTAATGATGTCCCTGTGTATATGTATCTCTATAAACGTACTAATACAACAAAAAAATGCATAAAAGTCTATTTAATACAGGAGTTATCCCGTACCGTCCAACATCCGTTACAGATGGGCTATCGAGCACTACAGCAAGACGAGGCAAAAGCGAGACATCATTTTCGGCTTTGAAGACCTCCTTGGTAATTTATTTGCCTGTCGTATTTTCAGCAGGGCTTACATCCAACTTTTTGTTTCCTATTACAGTTTCACTAGGTGGCACAGCCGCCTTTTTCCTAGGCTGCAGCGTGCTCAGCTTCGTCGAGCTCGCTTATTTCTTCACGCTCCGACTCTTCTGGTACATCTTCAGTAAATGAACTAAAAAAGCATAACATTATAATCAATGTGCACAAATACACTAAATTTATGTGAGAATTTTTGTTCTTCCCAAAATTACTTATTTTATTATTTTATTTAGTACCTATTCACCTTCTAAAGTTTAATATTGGTATCATTTGTCACTTATAGTCTCTTAAGTTTTGTGATTACTTAGACTCAAAAGTAACTTATATTCTCCTTAATTGACTCACGTGGTGATACAAGAAAAAATTTCGGAGTGACCGAAATAGTGAGCATAGTTAAATTTGTTACCGTATGTCCTACATCAAGGTGGAAGTGGATTAGAGGTAGTGGTTAAGAGGATTGTGTTAAATGGACGTGGCTTGTATTGTTAGACAATCGTACAGTGGTGTCAGAACTGGTAGGTCAACGAATTCGATGAAGCGGCTTGGACTGTTAATCGTCAATGGCGTCATGGCTTGTAGGTCAAATCTTTACAAGACGTCATAGTGAGCGTGGCTTAAACTGTCTATCGTATAATGGCGTCATAGGTGGTAATAAAATTAGTCCAATAACATCCATAATGGACGTGGCTTATAATTTCTTTGAACATAGACTCAGTCCCAATATTACCAAGGACTGTAAAACTATGGATTATTCGTGAGTAGCTAAGAATATCAATTGTTCAATGGCGTCATGGCTTGAAGGCCCAATCTTTACATGACGTCATAGTGGGCGTGGTTAAGACTGTCAATCGTACAATGGCGTCATAGCTGGTAATTAAATTAGTCCAATGACATCATATAGGCGTGGCTTAGAATTTCTTTGAACATAGTCCCAATATTGCCATGTACTGTAAAACTATAGATTATTCGTGAGTGGCTAAGAATATCAATCGAGCAATGGCGTCATGCTTGTAAGTTCAATCGGTCAATGACATCAGGCCTAGATCAAATCGGTAGATGATCATACAGGGCGTTGCTTAGACTAGAAATCGTTCAATGACGTCATGACTGATAGATCATATCTTTACATGACGTCACAGTTGGCGTGGCTTAGACCGGCAAGCGTTTAATTGCGTCATGGGTAGTAGGTCAAATCGTTCTATGACACAGTGTACATGCCAACACGGTTAGTTATTCACTGTATTTTCGGTGTAGGTGTATTTATTACAGATTTGTTTTATGTAACAATGTTCTAATAGATGCAACCTATTGATAAGGGGCACTAAGTTGTGAAGAGCGATCGTTCTTCAAAGGCGCATACACACTAAGCAAATCTCGGCCAACGAAGACAACCAATTTATCAGGCCGAACGTTGGCTGTCAACACATTGCACATCCTTGGCTCATCCTCATCAAACGAAAGGATCGGGACCTAGGGATTCGTTCATACGGAATCGCAGTGAACAACGTCATTCTTTTGATGCTACCGTCAGAAGAGCGTACCTTGACTAAGCAAATCAGGACCAACGAAGCGGTTGGTTGTCTTTCGTCGACCGTGCTTTGCTTACTGTGTACGCGCCTTAAAGTGATTCCAAATAGCTGAAGGAATCTTTTTTTTTTGCTTTTGAAAGTTGAAAATAGTTTGTTGTCTCCCTTGCGATAATCGTGTACAAATTACACGAATTGTATTACGTTGTGCAGTATTGTTGTGGATGGGGAGCAAAATTGTTCCTCTTATGGTCGATATCAGAAAAATTGGAGTAGCTTTTTTTGTGTGAAAAAAAGTATAATTTTCTGATGGCCGGGATACAGTTGATCAATAATGAGGGCTAAGGCGTAAAAAGAACAATTGGGTAAAATGAGTACGGGTGGAAAGACGAACCGGTCGAAATGCCAAACGTTCTTCATCCCGAAGGTCCTCGGTTTCTTCTCGAAAGAATATTTCTACATCAATATGACCATCATCTGCCTGCAGGTCGTGTACGGTCTGGCGTTGATGTTCTACCTCACAATCGTCGACGGTTACAAATGGTATTCGACTTGGCAGTTCAGGACGATAATTTCCGTAAAAGTCATCGTATTCACGATAACTGCGATGACAAACGTCAAAACTATGAAGACAATCAGCTTCAACGAGCTCTCGATCTTGGCCAAAGTCGACCACAAGTTCATGTCCGCCGTCGCTCTCTGGCCGCTCGTCTTTCACCCTTGCCACATCTTCAGCACGGGCATCGAGTATGCCGAGCTGTACGTCGGCATCCTCTTTCTCTCCCAGGAGGTCGTCCAGGTCGTCATCGTCATACAATTTGGTTACATATTCCAGGCCGTCAACGCCGTTTTGCAGAAAGTCACGTCGAGTATGAACGCAGCGAATTTGAACTCGAGCGTCAGAAAGCTCACGAGGCTCATGGAACTTGCCCAATTCGTCCACAGGCGTTATACGATACAGCTTTTCTTCATTCTAATCTATTCCCACATCAACTGCCTCATATGGGGCTTCCACATCGTCAAAGACATCGACAAGGCCGACGTGACGAAAAACGTTTATTTCTTCATAATGCGCATCATTTACTTCCTCTGGAATGTGGGGATAACGAAACTTATCGTCTCACCAAACACGCAGTTCAAAGAACAGGTAATTTTTTTCACTAAAACCCAACAGACATATCTTAAACAATAATTTTTACGGACAATTTTAGACTGCCTATCATCGCTGTTTTGGTATACAACACGCGTTTCGGTAGTGGAGTATTTTGTTTCAGTTATGGTTAAGAAATGTGTATGTGCCATAATGCACAATGGTCAAAATCAGTCAGAGGCGGTTCAAGGAGATGAGTAGATTGCTCCTGTTATCCTTTGTTAAGGTCTGGTAAGCAGGGTGGATAGGTGTGTTGGTAGTAGTGATCATACAGGGAATGGCTAAGGGTAAATAAAAATGATAGTGATAGTTAAGGATTAGAAGGGGTGGTTCAGGAGAATGGTTAAGAATGATTGAATAGGTAGGAATGGTTAGTAAAAATTCTAGGGTTGGTAGTGATGATTCAGTGAGTTAAGATGATAAAGAATTGACACTGATGGTTTGGGAGGTTGAGTGGTGTTGCTTAATGATTGGTAGAGATGACTGAGAATTGGCAGTGATGATTAAAAATTAGTAGGAAAGATTAGAGTTGGTTAGAGTTGGTGGGGGGGAAGATGATTAAGAAAGAGCAGTTATAGTTTGGGAGGTTGTGTGGTGATGATTAATGATCAGTAGGGATGACTAGGAATTGGTACTGACGGTTTGGGAAGTAGTGGGGTGATGATTAATGATCGGTAGGGATGACTAAGAATTGGAACTGACGGTTTGAGAAGTTGTGGGGTGATGATTAATGATTGGTAGAGATGACTAAGAATTGGCACTGACGGTTTGAGAAGTTGTGGGGTGATGATTAATGATCCATTGGGATGACTAAGAATTGGAACTGACGGTTTGAGAAGTTGTGGGATGATGATTAATGATCGGTAGGGATGACTAAGAATTGGCACTGACGGTTTGAGAAGTTGTGGGGTGATGATTAATGATCAGCAGGGATGACTAAAAATTGGAACTGACGGTTTGGGAAGTTGTGGGGTGATGATTAATGATCGGTAGGGATGACTAAGAATTGGCACTGACGGTATGAGAAGTTGTGGGGTGATGATTAATGATCAGCAGGGATGACTAAAAATTGGAACTGACGGTTTGGGAAGTTGTGGGGTGATGATTAATGATCCATTGGGATGACTAAGAATTGGAACTGACGGTTTGAGAAGTTGTGGGGTGATGATTAATGATCGATAGGGATGAGAAGTTGTGGGGTGATGATTAATGATCAGCAGGGATGACTAAAAATTGGAACTGACGGTTTGGGAAGTTGTGGGGTGATGATTAATGATCAGTAGGGATGACTAAGAATTGGCACTGATGGTTTGAGAGGTTTTGGGGTGATGATTAATGATTGGTAGGAATGATGAAAATCTGGACAGTTGGGAACTTGGTCGCATCCCATAGCGCAGAGTAGGGTAGCATTGCGCCAAAGAAGGCTGTAATACTGCGTTTGTCGGGCCACAACTGTATTACCTCACTCTATAAGCACAGCGAAAGAGAGTATCAATAGCTGGGGCATGAAACAATTCCTTAAGGAATGGAATCTATCCCCCGGACACAGGCAATTGAAGGAGTTTGTGAAGGAGATCAAACCAACAGAATCGAAATGGCATCAGGCAGATGTGCACAGGGGTAATACAATCTTATGTTAAATTGGGCATTGCATTTGCATTGGGTGGCTTTGGGTCACGTCGGGTAGCGTTGCATTGGTAAGTATGTTTCCCCGCTTTAAAATTAATAATTTAAATTATTAAATATAAATAAATTGTATCTAATAAGTACAAATCTGTAAATAAAAACGATACAGGATGCAATAAAGTCATATTTCATTCAGGTTGAATTATTCATGAACAAATTGCAGAAAAGACTGCATGAGACGAGGATGGACAAGGTATAGTATTTTTATATATTTCTAAACAACACCATCAAATAATAACTGTTGACAGCGTACGCTCTGCTTGTACTTGAGGCTTCAACGCTGCCCTGAATTTAAGGCCCTGTCGCTGTTTTCCCTCAACAACTCATTGGTGACATCAGTAAGATTAAAAAATAAAAAAGTAAAGAAACATTGTATTCCTAAATTAACAAAATTTGAAACAGGTTGCTGCAGCTGTCTGCGCCTACATTATTATAATAACACAATTCTTCGAGGAAATGAACCTTTATTATTAATCGTTATTATAAATAAATGAAAATAAATTTTGTGGTTATGTATTTTTGACATTACCCAATATAATCAATGAAGGGTATGGGGAAAAAATCATCTGCAATGCCTTGCTTCTAAGGAAAAAAAAGGTATGCAGGAGGTAATTTGTCAAAATTGATCATTTAACAAAATAACACTTAAATAAGTAAAAAAATAAAATATATTTAGACTAAAAATTAAAGCTGGATTTTTAATAAGTTAACACTATGAAAGTATGATCTCAAAATATCATGCAATCAATTATGATTAAATATTTTGAGTGACAAGAGAAAAATACCTTTTAAAAAAATTGACGGTCACAATTTTTTCCACTTTTTTACTGGTTCGTCACATTAGCGATTATCGGCTTTGGCCTGATCTTAAAAACAATCTTTTTCTTGACGACTGCCTTAACCGTATATTCAGTGGAGTCATTGGCACGCCTCTTCTCGAGTACGGCGTATGGCTTTTCCATATTAACGCACCTTCCGTACAGGATGTGGTGCCCAATGATTAACACCGGCACTGCATTGTTCTATGTAAAGAATAAATAAATACAAAATTTAGTCCAACAAACATGAATTGAATAAATCGTTCATACTTGTACGCTGAAGTGCAGATCGCCTACAAATTGGTCGAGCATACTCTTATTGATCCGCGATTCAAGCTCACCCTGCAGCTCGATGATGCCCCATGAATCGACATTCTCCTCATCCCTACAAGAAGATACTTTTAAATTATTAAAATTAACATCATTGTTACGCAAATGGCGGCTTGGATCAACTAACATGATCAATAATGATCATGAGACGAAACCACGGATTGAAAACTTGTTCTTTATATAAGATTGTTTAAAACTAAATAGAACCAAACATGACAGACTCGTCGACTCGTGATCGTGGGTCTGCGTAATTTCGCTATCATTTTTCCTTACGCTTCAACAATAAAACGTCCTTACAAAGTCAAACAATAAAAGAATCGACAGCTTAGCTTTCTTGGATACGCCAATTCTCCCATTTTTTCTCGTTCACCACAGGCGTCCTTTAGCGATACCGAACTGAATCGAGTACAAGGAGGTAAAATGTATTAATTTATCTCTTTAAACTTACAATTTTACAAGAATCATCTTTGTATTTCCGCCAATAAATGAATACTAATTACTAATATCCAGTGTGAGTGTGTCAGCTATTAAGTGAAATTCCCGGTTTCCCACCTTTGGCAAAGATAACAGTACAGAAAGGTTACAAATTCAGGAGGTTTATCAGTTATAAATAATACTAATATTTAATTAAAATTATCAATTAAAATATAAATTAAATTAAAAACGTATTTTTTCATTTATTATCTTATTTTGATTAATTGCTTTTTCAGCTTAGAAATTGAGTGAAGTACAACTTTCAATGAAGAGGCAGTCTTGTTTATTCTCGTCCGTTCTGTTTAAAAATGCATTGCAATTAAAAAACATTCATTTTTACCACAACTATTGACCGTTTTGATTTATAAAATGTAATTAATCTTATTCTTACTTTTTGTAATACACTAGTTAAAATTTCCTTCCTTGATAGGGTAACAGTCGAAGAAGGTAACGGATTGATAGTAAACAAATTTGCAAGCACGTCTTCAAAAAGAAGAATTTATACCAGTAAGAGCATTAAATTTTCTTTTACTCCAGGCTGTCCGCGATCGGTACTCTAACTCTGCCTGGAAAAAACTGCCTAAAATTTGTTAAAACAATCCTTGCCTTAGGAGATGTTACAGGTGTCTTGTATGCTTTAAGTAAACTATAACAAAATTTCAGAACTAAATATTCAAATGAATTGTAAAAACTTAAAATTTTACATGAAACGTTGTTGGATTTTGATTTTTTTTTATAATTAATACTTTTTTCTTTTTAGTAATCTTGTAAAAGTATAAGTATAAAAGAGTATACTATAAAATACTTCCCTTCTTGGGATAACAGTCGAAGAAGGTAACGGCGTGTCAAGGAAGGTTAATAATAAACAAAAATGTCAAACACATCTTCAAAAAGGACAATTTATGTCGGTGAGTTTTTCAATTTAATTTGCTTTCTTCGGTGGTACTACAGGTCTATTTTCAGGGGGTCTCGCCGAAGAGGTGGACGAGAAGGTGCTCAAGTCGGCTTTCCTCGCCTTCGGTGAGATCTTGGACATCCAGGTACCGCTAGACTACCAGACTGAGAAGCACAGGGGCTTCGCTTTCATCGAATTTGAATTTTCTGAGGATGCGGCGGCAGCAATCGATAACATGGTATTGTTCAAATTCTAATGTTATTCATGATCAAATCATAAAAAGTAAAATGACAGTCATACAGAGTTGAATGTGAGAAAGATACCAATCTGTTACATCACTTATTTGTAATTGATACCATGGAATTTTAAATTATTTTAGTTTATTAATATGACAATAAAATTAAAAGCTTTTCCCTACAAAAAATTATGTACATTTTAATAATTCATGTTTTTTATTGGTATATAAAGTTTTGGTAGTGTGCTGGGAGGTTGTAACACTGTTTCATTATATGTTAAGAAATAATATCCTTATATTGTTTAATTTTTTTAGAACGATTCAGAGCTGTTTGGCAGGACGATCAGGGTCAACCTGGCCAAACCGCAAAAGATAAAGGAAGGCTCGTCCCGGCCGGTGTGGTCGGAAGACAGCTGGCTTCAAGAGCACGCTGGGGAGACGCTCGAAGTCAACGAGAAGGCTTCGAAAGAGGATGTAAGGATTTTAATTATAAATTTAATTTAACTTTCTTATTTACGAGTTGTTTTCTAGGTTGAGGAAAAGCAAAAGAACAGGAACCCTGAAGTGTACTTTGACATCTCTGTCGGAGCGAAGCGAGTCGGGCGCGTGATCATTCTCCTGAGGAAAGACATAGCACCGAAAACAGCGGAAAACTTCCGAGCGCTCTGTACCCACGAGAAAGGCTACGGCTATCAAAATTCTATATTCCACAGGATCATCCCTGAATTCGTACGTCCTGGCCCGGTCATTTAATGTAGAATAATTCTAAAATGTAAAAAAAAACTTTGTTTTTTTATTGTAGATGGCCCAAGGTGGTGATTTTACAAACCATGATGGCACAGGCGGCAAGTCGATTTACGGCAATAAGTTTGAAGATGAGAATTTCCAGCTGACGCACAACCAGGCCGGTGTACTTTCAATGGCCAACTCCGGCAAGAACACAAACGGATCACAGTTCTTTCTCTGCTTCGGCCCAGCCACCTGGCTCAACGGGAAGCACGTCGTATTCGGACAGGTGATACGCGGACTTGAAGTACTCAAACTCATAGAGGTAAACTTCAATACATATTCTCATAAAAACTACAGATTACTAAAAAAAAAATTTGTTTTAGGCTGTCGGCACAAAATCAGGCAAACCTACTGAAAAAGTGACGATAATCAATTGTGGAGAGTTGACCTAAATTAATTTATTATTCATGTATTTATAATGAAAATCATTGTGATAAATTAATTTTAATAATTATATTTTCTTATTCTTATTTTTAAACCTTTTATTTAAAAAAATAAAATAAAATAAATTGTGCAAAAGAAATAATTTTACCATGGAGCACAAAAAAAAATTGTTTTCCTTTAATTTCAAACTTCAGTCGACAAAGAAAAATCCACATACTGCGATGGTAGCCATATTTTTGTTATTACGATAAGAAATCATAATGAGGCGTGTGCAATTTAAATCTTGTTTTTCGGTTGCAAATCTTTGGATCAGTTCGAACACACCGTGGTCGACCATCACTAATAATAGGCAAACAACAACTATTAATTTAAAAAAATGGAATAAAATAAAAGTATATAATAATCTTCTTAAAAAAATCAACAATAGAGGATTTTGTATATTTCTTTTATTTCTTGAAAATGTTAAGCCGGCATCTTGATCACTACCGATTACCTAAGACCATAGGCGTTGATCATTTTTGAATGTACAGTATAAAAAAAAGAAAAAACATTTTTTTTTCTTCTTCCTTTAATATTATAATTCGTGTACACTAAGCAATTTAATGTTTGGACGTCTTGTTCTTTTCATTTTGTTTTTTTTAATCCAACAAAAAAATTGTATATTTTCCCCCTGGTTAGTCTAATAAAGTACTACATTACAAAGTATTGTTAGTTTTTATGTTAATCAAGTTTTAACTTCCTTTAAATCTGCTCTTCGGGGGGAAAACAGAAAAATTCTTATACAGCTTTGTTTATACGTATATACTTACCTTCTATATGTCACAATCTGTAAAAATCATTTTTCGTTTTTATCACTACTCAATACAAATAATCTTATAATACATTATGGAACATTAACACCTTTGTACAAGACAAATAATTGTTTTGTTTTTTCCTAATAATAATAGAGGAAAATAAATAAATTGACAAAAAACCCTTAATAATTACAAAACGACAATATATAATTTGCACTATTGTCGACAATCATACCTATTTGTACAAAGCGATCACAAAAAAAAATTATAAGTGCAATTTTTTTTAATATATATTTAAACAATAGAAAAATTAAACTATTAGTTTTGTTTTTAATTGCACTTTTTTTTCTGTTTGTTTTTTAAAGGAGTCCTTTCTCAGTTTCTAAAATGTAAAAAAAAAATGTCCCCCAATTTTAAAAAAAAAAATTATATACAAACAAAACAACAAAAAAATTAAAATAGTTTTAATTTTTTTTTAATAATTTATTTCGCTCGCTGTCAACACTCGCCATGCCTGTTCGTTTGCTGCCTCCATGGAGAGGGCACACCTTTTTTTTATTATTATTATTATTATTTTTCTAACTATCGTGGGTTTTTTATTTTATTTTTTTGAGCTGCGCTTCTATTTTATATTTTATTTTTTTCTATGACATAGAAAGAAAAACAAAATAAAACGGAATTCATTAACGGGGAGTTAGGGTGGGGGAGAAAAAGAAAACGCTCTTTGAATAAGAATTAAAAAAGAAAAATAATTAAAAACAAAAAAAGAAGAGAGAAGCTGATGGGAGTGACTTCGTGGATTGAAGATCATGCGGTCACATCAGACTGTATCATCTACAAAATAATTAATCAATTAAAATAAAAAATTTAAGAAAAGAAAAAGAACTGTACTAACCATGATACCACCACTTTGTCTTCTTCGGATTTTTGTTGCAAGTCTTGACATAAAATGAATTGTCAGGAGGCCTCTTCTAAATAGCAGAAAAGGAAAAAAATTAAAATATATGAAAATACAACGAACAGTACAAATTTACCTTTTCTTTACAACTACTCAGCATGCTGACTATGCTCAGACAGACTGTCTGCACGGACAGGGCCGGTGACCAGTCGTCGGTGAGGATCGAAAGGCATATGTGACCGTTGCTGTAGACGTGCGGGTGGACTGGGATGTTGGGCCCAATGAATGTCACCTGGGGGAGATTAATAAGTGCCATAGCATCAATCAAGGTTTTGACAAAAAAAAAAAAAAAAAAAAAAACACCTACCTCTGGTGAATCAAATGGGTACTTGGGTGAGAACTTAAACTGCAACGTGAAACGCTCACCTTCGTATAGCGTGCCCTCGGCACCTGTCATGTTTATAGTCCATCTAGGAAAATACAAAAATCAGCAGATGCCTTTGGCAAGTTAATTTTGAGGACTTACAAGCTTAGATTTTCTCCTTGATCGCTGTCTACAACAACACCTGGTGGCGGCTCCTTAATCAATGACATCAACTCTTTTTGCAATCTCCTCTGGAAACAGACAAAGAAAAATATATAGGACAACTATTTAAAAATTTCTTGGATTGCCTATAAGTGAACGATCGACTCTAGTTTCATCCACAACATAAGAATTAGTAGTGTTGGAAGATATGGATCAGAATTGTTAGGAATTATAAGAAGGATCTGGATAAGCATAGTTAGGGAAATCTAAGTTGGATTTGCTCAGAACTTGTGGGAAATGGACAGAGTGCTGGACAGAGATAGTTAGGAATTGTTAGAATGCTGGATGTAGATAGCCAGGAACTGCCAGTACAATATTGTTGGACAGGAATAGAGATTAGGTGCTTGATAGAGTTGGTTAGGGAAGGTAAGGTATAGTTCAGGTTGGTGAGAATTGTTACAAATGGATAGTGTTGGATGGGGAGTCATGGAAGACTAGGTATGGCTCTTTAGTGAGAACTTGTTATAAATGGATAATGTTGGATGAAGAGTCATGGAGGTCTAGGTATGGCTCTGTTTAGTGAGCACTTGTTACAAATGGATAGTGTTGGATGGAGTCATGTAAGTCTAAGAATGGCTCTGTTTAGTGAGAACTTATTAGAAATTGATAGGGTTGGATTGTCTGTCATCTAGAAATCGATAGGGTGGGGGAAGTCTAAGGTAACTATTTTAACAGTTTTGTGGTGTGGTTTGGAACTATTATTAAAACTGGTAAGAAGAACTGGATAAAGTCAGTTTGGGTTTATCAGTAATTACTAGATACATGCTAGATAAAGATGATATAAAATGGTTTGGAATGATTTCTGCTCCTACTGTTTAGAGGTGTTCTAACCTATAGATGATTAGGGTATTATTGAGATGATTGGTGCTGTTTGCCCTTACTTGAGCGATGGATAAAGGTTTAGAGTTGGTTATATAGGTCAGGGAAGTCCTGAGTTGGTTTTAGTTACAATGGTTAGAAATTATTATGGATGAGTCTGGAGAGAGAGGGTATTTATTTGTCAAGTTTTTTGTTAGAAACTGCCAAAGATATCCTTAATTATGTTTATGTTGTCATAGCATATGAAATTTACATTTTGCAGGTTCAAAAAAACTAATTTTGATTATTGAAATGATTTCAGCATCATGAAATATATATAATTTTCTCAAGTATTAACTTATTTGTGTCAAGTTTTATCTCTGCCAAGATTAATGCTCAATGCAATAACACCCTCCAATAGATCAGTTTGACCTTTGTGCCGGGATGTGATGATTAGTGTAATGATAAAGCTACTGTAGAAATAATTTATTTTTCAAAAGAAACAAGTTATTAAGTAGTTTTGGCTAGAATTAGAATAGGGCATACCCAACTAGCAAAGCGTATGGCTTGGAAAGTACCACAGGTGTGTCAAGGTATTTTTTATTTATCTATTGACTAATCTATTTTAAATTGATAAGATTGCTTCAGGAAAAACATATGGAAAATGGTGCAAGCTGTTCATATATTAACATTTTAAAAAAAATGCAGTGCCTTTAAAATGATTTTGTATTGAACTTACCTCCCACCTCTCACCATCCAGGATGACTTTATTTGTTTTGTTTTTATTAAACTTAAGTGCCATATTTTATTTGAAAGAAAAGTGGACAAGGGTAAAACAGTTTTTTTTATGGATCATACGCCGTCCGTCCGTACGTCTGGAAATTGGGGGAAAAACTAGTGAATTATTCGGTTAGAGAAGCGCGTTGGGAATATTGACGCGGACGAGCAACTCTTTCAAAAGCCTGCTTTCATACGCGACCGTGTTTCTACCTTCGTGGATGGCCACGTCCTCCAGCGGATTCTCGACTGACGTCTTCACGTCTTTTCCGAACACCTCACAGTTGTCCAGGAAGTCCAGACAGTCCTGAAAGAACGAATCGGTCGGGAAGATGATCCTCTTGGCCATGTTTTCGATAAGGGAGAGTACGCATCGTTTTGTGTAGTACCACGTGTCGGGCGAGAGCTTCTTGTTGTACGGCTCAAGGCTTCTGATAAGACGGGAAATGCCGAATTCGTAATTGCCCTTGGCGCAGTAGAGGGTCCCGATGATGAGGTTCACTATGGACAAGTGGAAGACCTTCTTGTCCGGCTCTTCGTAGTGAAGGCGTTCCTCTTCCTTCTCGATCTTCCTCATCAGCTCCTCGGCCTCCTCGTTCATCGCGGACATTATGTAAGAGACGCACAGGTTGGCCAGCACGACTGGGCTCACGTTCAAAAGATTAGCGTACGACTTTTTCACTATGGGCTCGTAGAAGCCTATGGCCTCTTTGTACTTGTTGTCCTGGATGAAGAGCACATTGGCCACCTGGAGACGCCATGTGTCGTTCTCGTTGCAGAATTCTACAGACTTCTGGAATATGGATTCGACCTGGTGGTACTGTTCCAGATCCCAGTATATTTTCGCCTGGGCCATGAGGACGGGGATGTAACTGTCGAGGGTCTCCTCGTAGTCTGCGACTGCTCGTTTGGCGGCGGCGTCGTCCTGGGAGTTGCGCGCCTCTTGGACCCGTTTCGTCGCTTTCCTCAGGCTCTCAGTGTGGCGGACGGCGATCTCCTCGAACTTCTTGTACGCGTCGTCCGGCGACGTCTGCTGGGTTATGAGTGCGTCGATGAAACTGTACAGGTACTGAGAGAGGTACTTCTGGGTCAAGTGCTGGTTCTCAGCTATCACATCGGCGGCCAGGTTGAAGTATCCGTATTTGCAGTAAAGTATGAGCAGGTTGCCGAGGGTTTCGGGCGGGAAGGGGTTCTGCTGAAGGAGGAACTGCAGCTTCTCGAAACCCTCCGTGGGCCGCATTTCCATGTTCATGAGGGCCTGGTTGTGGAGGGTGACCGCGTCCAGCTCTTCTTCAGATCTGGGCGGCATGTCTGTCAACGCTTCTCGGGCCGCTTCAAGGTTGCCCAGCTTGAACTCCAAAGCAGCTTTCAGGTTGAAAGCCTCGATGAGGGCCGTCTCGTGTAGGACCATCGTGTTGCCAACACTCCTGAACTCTATACCTTCCGTCGCCATGCCGACCCCGAGCTCCGGGTGTTCCCTGATTCCTCTTTCCATGATCTCCGCTATGTATTTTACAGCCTGCGAATAATCCTTGATCTTGTAGTAGCACAAAGCGAGACTGTACGACAAATGTGGGTCGTAGCCTTGGGTGAGAAGTGCCGTGCTGAACCGAGGCAGGGCCTCCTGATATCGCTCTTCCTTGTACAGTATGCAAGCGTGGTTTATCTCCGTTTCCGGCTCATCGTCGGCACTGTTTTCCAAGAGGGCCCGTGCACTTATCAAATCTTCCTCGCCGTACTTGATCGCCGCCTTTAGCTTTGTCACCTTGTTGTGGTAACTCTGATCCGTGATGGTGCTGAGCACCTTCATCGCCTTCTCGTATAGGCAGGCCTGGTAGAGGGCCTGCGCGTGGTGCAGCTTGTAGTCCGTCTCGTTCGGGACCAACTTGGCCAACCTCTCGTAATACTCGGCCGAGTTGATGAAATCCTGCGTGTTGAAGTAGCAGTAGGCGAGGAGGGAGAGGCAAGCCCTCGAGTTTTCGTTATTGTCCAACTGCTTCCTGAGGATCATGACCGCGTCGTTGAACCGCTGTTCCTTGATCATCGTGTAAATCGCCTTCGTGTAATCACCGTCTTTGATCGTGTAGTTGTGCATATACATATTCGTAGAAGGGTGAGAGACTGAGGTGTAAGCCACCGTCCTCGATTCCGTGTGTACCCTCGTATCCATGGGAGACCCCCGTTGGTATTCCCTGACCTTCGTTCTTATCGATTTATAACTCCCCTTCTTTCAGCCCTCTGTGCTTTTTCAGCTTTTCGACCGTTCGCAGCTACGGTGTGCAAAGTGTTTCTGTTTTTCAGCTGATATTTATTCAGATTGAACCTTATGCGACATATTGCAATTTTACAAACCGGGTCAAATAAATCGACATACTTTGGACATTTAATCCTACGTTTTTACCTTAGAAGAAGTGTTCCAGTAAAAGACCACACATCTTCAACGAACAAATTGGCCCACCAGGAAAATAAAAATTACAAAATATATTAAATACGATCGTTTTTATTTTATTCTCTCCAAAACCAATCGTACAAACGGAACACTAAAACAAACATTCTAAGAAAAAGTAACATAGGAGGAAAAAGAGCGAGAACGAGCGGACCCCGATGACCTATTTTACATTCTATTTCCGTCTAATTGGACAAAATAAGGCTTCACATGTGAAAACCTACAAATGACAAGGCGGGAATTTGCCATTTTTGAGTCTTCCTTTAGATTTCAGAAAACAAAAAATCAAAAACCTAACCGAAAGAGAACACATTTATAAACTGAAAGTACGGACTTTTTTTCAGGCCAAGGACTTGCGTGATTTTAAGCCCACCCAGCTCAAAGTGAAATCAATAAGTGATAAATGACGCCAACCGGTTAGTTAGAATAGTTTATAATAGGGATGGTTAAATAGGTTAAACAAAAAGTATCTAGGTTAAAGTTGGATGGATACCTAGGTAAAACTGATCTAACAGCATCGATATCCTGAAATATCAATAAATTATAACACGAAACCTAAATATCGCTATACTAACTTGCATTTATTCACTAAATATAACATAGATTAAAAAATCTATAAACCATAAAAGGCGATTAACTACAATATCGACTGTAGGTTTAAACACTAAAACTCGATGTATACGCAATAACATCGATTTTTCATATACATAACTATCGTCAGACTATAACATCCATTCTGTACATATTTTAGAAAATTAATATAAAAATCGAGAAACTGTAATATCGATTATAAAATTATATACCATATATCAAGGATTATAAATATCGCTACAATATAATATTCTGTCTGTACATATTCTAGAAAACTATCCTAAAAATCGAAAAACTATAACATCGATTGTCAATATCGATACTCTAAAACTTTCATTCTACGAATTGCTCCTTCAGTTATACTAATCAATGCACAGAAACAATGATTATACATATCGATTCACTCTAAAATACATTCTGAGTATATATACACTACAACATCGATTATAAATATCGATATACTATAACTTCCATTCTACGAACTACTCCGTCAGCTATCGCACAGAAATATTGAATGTACATATCGATTCACCCTAAAATACATTCTGAGTATATATACACTACAACATCGATTATAAATATCGATATACTATAACTTCCATTCTACGAACTACTCCGTCAGCTATCGCACAGAAATATTGAATGTACATATCGATTCACCCTAAAATACATTCTGAGTATATATACACTACAACATCGATTATAAATATCGATATACTATAACTTCCATTCTACGAACTACTCCGTCAGCTATCGCACAGAAATATTGAATGTACATATCGATTCACCCTAAAATACATTCTGAGTATATATACACTACAACATCGATTATAAATATCGATACACTACGGTATCCTTTTTGAATATATGCGTACACAAAAATATCGATTATAAATATCGATTCAGTAAAACATCGGTTCTAAACATGGATTGTAATTATCAATACACTATAACATACTCTAGAGCATTTACCATAAAAATCGATTATACATATCAATTCTAAAATGATACAGTCGTAAAAAAAGTATAACAAAAACTACCAATTGTAAAGATCCACACACGATCTATCTATTTTCAGTATCGATACCCTCAAATATCACGTCGAATCAATATTATCGCCTAAGGTGAAAGTGTAATTTGATTATATGGGACTATAATTTCCTCATCTCGGATTGATCCGCCTATTATATTTTAATTTAAAGCAGTGAACCCAATTTCTGGGTAAAAAAGGGAGGTTGTTTTCGTATCGTAAAAAATTTAAATATTCTTCTGCGTTAATGACATCTATTTTCAATCTAAATGATTCAGAAGAGAAAGAAACGAATCGCCAAATACAAATAATTCACGTTGTTACGTGACAAAATCTACTCTAAATTTGACAACGGGTCGATGTTCGTGAAGGATCGAAACTTTATTTTTTGTTGTGCGAGGTAATATCGCATTCATGCAGATCCCATGGCATTTGGTAAATGTCAAATGTCATCACGATAGGCCGAACTTAAATTTCATTCTGCGGACATTTAAACGAGCCCTTCGCCCAAAAAATCCAAGTCAAATATTTGTTTTTGGTTTTCGTTTAACTCAGAGAAACAGCCCACTTTCACTGAGGAAGCTGACGTGACCGGAATTCCATAACCGGGGCCATCCGAGCCTGACAAAGGGGGCGGCGAGGTTCGCTTTTTTTCGGGAACCCGGCAGTGTAATTGCATAATGCTATTACGTGCGACGCTCCGAATTTTTAAGATTGATAAGGAAAGCCGTAGGAAAAATGGTGGTGTCATCGCGTTTCATACTTAAAAAAAGGCTCTAAACAAAAACAGTTCCTATGGGCTAAACTTCATTAGCTTTTTGTTTGCCGGCAAACAGCTAGGTCATAGCCGGCGCTACTCTGCATTTTTTCCCTTTCTGGAGTTTGTCTTCTTTTCAAAACACAAAAACATAAAATAAACATTACCGCCCTATCCGTCATGTAATGAGTAAAATTCTCGAGAAACTCCTATAAAAACCTTTATACCCTATTATCATTGGATCCCAAGAAACTATTCCGAGTCACTAGTTTGGATTTAAGTCCCTACACCCTCCAATCCATCAATGACATCGCCTTGTGGACGTCATTTCGCTCCTTTGAGCAAAACCAGTGTTGTCCGGGTGTATTCCTTGACACTGCTCACGCCTTTTGCAGGGTTGGAAGCTGAAGTGCATCCTTCCCAGTACCTACTACCTTAAGCCTTAAGGTGCCAAATCTCGAGATCACACAGGACAGGGTTTGGCACCCGGGCCTCCTGTGGAAGCTGAAGTGCATCCCACTCAGTACCTACTACCTTAAGCCTTAAGGTGTCAAATCTCGAGATCGCACAGGACTCGAAACGACCATGCTCTTGTTTCAGTTGGATCTCAAGGTGGTCTCGTCTTGATATTAGCCAAATAGCGTGCACATGCGGGGTTTGTCCAACCACCCAGTTTGTGCGTATACAGGGAATATTCGCCAAGTGCCGTGAGAATCCTCAACTTCTACCAATCGTGAAGGACAACAGTGAAGCTGCGGTTACTGTTTTGTGTAGTGGTAGACAAATAGCAGATAAACTCAATTTGTGATATTAAATTTTCCATTTTAATACTTATTAAATGTAATAATAAAAAATAATCTGATGTAAACAATGCGTCGTTGTTTGCTTTGACTGTTTCTTTATTTAATTATGTAAAAATGTCGAATGAAAAAATGGTCACGGATGCAACAAAATCAAAACGTCAAGTTAATCAACGCAGAGCTCTGATTACGACTCCAAGATATGTGCTGACGCAAAAGAATTAGCTGCTATGAGCGGCTTAAAAATGGACTTAGCCACTGAGGCACTACAAAAAAAAAGGACAAGTGCGAGGCAGCAGCCGAGGAAATTTGTCCAGCGGAAGGCGAAAATGTCGTTCATCTTACACACTGCAGAGTTTTGGTTCAGGTTTCTGAACAACAGCCTTCAAGATGAGCTCTGGTCGCCCTTCAGTGGTGGTTGATGCGGAATTAATTAATTAAATCTTAATGTCCGAAATATACGATCCAGATCAGATCCCCATGACTAGTCAGCCGCCCAAGCTCAACAACGTTATCTGTAAAAGTTTGCTTCAAAATGCAAAAGACGATAGATTTTGGATGATAATTTTAAGAGCGATGGAAAAATGGATATTTAAAAAAGAAACCCTATCCAACGAAAACAGTGGGTAGCGCAAGGCCAAGAGGTTCAAACAGAGGTTCGCCAACTTAGAAAAAAATATTATGCTTTGTCGTTGAGTATAGTATCGGTCTTCAATCGTAAATAGGAAAGCAAAGAGATCAGGGATGAAGCCATGCAGGTTAAAAAACCAACTTGTCTTTCTACTGACTTTAAAACATTTTGTAAGCCATTGGTATCATTGTTGTGGGAAAAAGATAACACGTTGTTATCTCTCCCAGTGGTCTGGGTAGAATGATCCAGGACCACATGCCCGGACTAATTGCAAAGTTTTTTAAATAGTTTTTCAAGTATGTTGTTGAATTATTATTTTTTTTTTTTTATATATATATGTATCTGTAATGAAACATTGATAGTAGCCTGAGGAAGGCTTCAAATACAGCCGAAAGCTTGACAGTAGAAAAACAATTTGGTTTTTTCACCTTTACTATTATGCTTTAAGTTTGGTGGAATTATGAGGGTGTTTTGCACTTTGAACTGGAAACCAGATAGTAGGGCTATTGATGCAGAGCTTTACCGTGAACAACACGAAAGATTATATGGGCTTTTACCCTGCTTTCCTCTATCGGGATAAAGCGATATTTCAGAAGACAACGCTCCTGCACATCGTTCGCGTTTGGCCAAAGAAATAGTTTCAGAAATGAAAGGGTGTTAACCTTGCCCCACCCTACTTACATCCCTGACGTCGCACCGTCTATGGTCTTTTCTTGTCAATGGCATCTTTTTGAAAGGCCGGAACTTCGAAAACTACGAGGAAGTCAAATCAGGATGTGAGTTCTTCGCCTCGAAAACCAAGGACTACTATCGCCACCAAATCCAACTTCTGGCAGAAAGATGGATTAAAATAGTTGATAATTATAGCCTCTATTTTGAGGAATAATTTTCATGTTTACATTTCATACTGACATTTAAATAAAACTTAATTTATGCAGACTTTGTAACGACCTATTAGAAGTATCTACTTTCGATCCGTTTCAACGCATCGAAAACTTCGTTCCGATTTTTATAATTTGGAAGGGAAGCGTTCTAAATTTTTCGTTCAAATCGAGGAACTCCAAGGGTTGTTATTTCATTAATACATCTATACTAGTTAGGAATCGTATTTTATTAAAATTAAATTTAAATTAAATTAAAATTAAAATTAAATTTTATTAAAAAATAAATACCAGTAAATAGAAATAATTAATAACAGTTGATTGCCAAATGTGGTGATGCTTTGAGTTCGGCTGCTTCACGAATACGTTGAAGAGGACGAGAAAACCAACAATTAACGAGCATGGAAATTTTTGCTCGGCGAAGCGCATGTCTGGAGGCACCTTTAACCTAAAATTCATACCTCTCAGGCCATTACTTCAGACTTAGTCAGGGTACAGCGATATCCTTTATATATCCTATTCAAGCTGACGTCCCTCAAGGGAACATACTTGGACTTCCCCTTTACTCGACATATCCAATCTTTCCAGAAACAATTCCCTCCGGTTTTGCTGACTGCAATCCTTTCCCCGCATAAAGATCCGGTCACTGCAAACAAAACCCTTCAAAACCATTTGCAGTGCCTCGACGTCTGGTCCAAAACGTGAAGAATTAAAAAAAAAAAAAAACTGCAACGAAGGGCCAATTCACTCCTCACACAAACGTATAAACCACCTAATTACTTTAAAGGGATTTCACTACCCCGTCGAACATGACGTTACTTGGGGCTCCACGTGGACTAATGAATTATTTGGAAACCGCACACAATATAACAACGAAACTATCTCAACAGACAAACTTTAATCACTACTATTCGACAGACCATCCAAACTTACATTTAATTACAAAAGATTAATATATACCATGGTTATCAAACTTAAGTGACTTATGGCATCGAACTCTGGAGGGTAACCAAATATTCCAACTCTCGACGCATCCAAAGA